GTGTGTATGTGTGTGTGTGCGTTCAGGTGTGTGTGTGTGTGTGTGTGTGTGTGTGTGTGTCAAGCTGTGTCATAATGATGCTGGAAACAAGAGAAAAACACCCTAGTGTGTGGCTTCAACCTCTCTCACACACACATTCACACATACATACACACACACGCACACATGCACTCATACACACACTTTCAGTTTGAGTAGGTGTTTTTTTTTCACCCCCCTCCATCCCTCATTTTCTCTTATGGTCTCTTTTGGTTATACATGCACATGTACAAAACAAAAGTATGTAGTATATGCTAATATCCAGCGCGTCTCTCATGTACGTTCAGTGTCGGTGCAGATATTCACATTTTTGTCTTTTCACCCTACCAGAAAAACAAAGACATTTATTCTCTTCCATGACGGTAACACGGTAAATATGTAGCTACAGCCAGCATATGGTTATCTTAGCATAGCACAAAGTAGTGAGACTGGAAGTAGATGATAACAAAATGTGCCTAAGACACCTTTAAAGCTCAATAATTAGCTCATTTGGTAGAAGGCTTGTTTAATCTGAACAAAAACTTCCCCATTTCCAGCCTTGAAGCTAAGCTCAATATGTCATGCTAAGCTTCTCAGCAAGAGAACAAATAAGTGTAGTTCCCAACATGGCAAAATATTCCTTAAAGAAGTCTCCTTAGTTTTACCTTTTGTTCCATTGCCTGAAAAATGTACATTTTAGTACATTTTTAGCTAAACATACCTCGAGTGCAGGCTCTGAGGTTAGCTAGCGGAGCAGGAGTTAGCAGGAGAGGTAGATGTTCGGACTGGGGTACGGACAGAAGAAACAGAGAGGGTTTGAGAAAGAGAATAATGGGAGGATGGTGGGTAGGTTCATGTACAGATTTAATAAAACAAGCTTAAATTAAACATAATATATTATTAATGAGCTTTAGAGCTGATGGTCGGCAGATCTTGTTACCTGTAGACAGAGCCAGGGAAGCTATTTCCCCCTGTTTCCAGTCTTTATGCTAAGCTAACCAGCTAGTGGCTGTAGCCTGATATTAAACAGACGACAGTGCTTTCAACTCTCACCTAACTTTCAGCAAGGAAGTGAATATGCATATTTCCCAAACTGTCAAACAATTGCTTTAAGGACGGGGGTTTTCTCCACTACTTCATTTCATCTTGAATCTAGTCAAGACATTCACTGTCTTGGTTTTGTTGTTATATTTTTTTATGCTCCTGAATTAGTTTGCGTTGAATTAAATTACCACACAGCTAATCCGGGGACAGTGTTTAAGCACAGTGAAACATTATGTATTTTTACTGGAATTTTTTTTTTTTTTTTTTTTTTTTTTTTTTTTTTCCTAAAAAAAACCCAAACCTTTAACCCATAACACATAAAAAAAAATACAGGAAACAGTAAAATAAAGTAAAAATTCATATACTTTTTAAGGAAAAGAAAACATAACCCAAACCAGGAGCTACTCTAGACCGATCCCCTAAGTTTCTATCTGATGAAAATTGGATCAGATAGAAAAATTTCTCTAAATAAAATGTTCCTCCGCGTACCTGATTCTTCCAAGGTGGAGGGCAACTGACAAGTCATTTAGCTAGCGCTGCACTGAAGGTGGTTCTGGTGTTTTCCAGTGTTGTAGTATGTTGTCTTTGCTGTTCTAAAGCCATTAGCAGAGCAGAGGACATATCCAACCCTTTCAAGACTGAACAGGAGTAACAGCCACACTCTGAAGCACTGATACTAATCGCTGATAGGAGTTCAGAAACAAGGTAAATGAGTATAACCTGGCTTGAAACTAGACTTGAGATGCCCCTGATCAAGGCACAGCACCTCAAAATGTTCCAGAAGAAGGGCATATCAGCCAACAGCTCATAATGTCGTGAATGTGTGAAACTGTATAAAGCGGGGTTTTGGTTAAACACTGTCAGCCCAAAACCACAGAGAGACAAACATTTATTTGGTAATGAAGCTGCCATGATCATATATGTAAAGAGTTATATAAAGAATATTAATTGGTTAAGTTAGTGTCAGTATATTGAGTAAGATTTTAATATACAATTTCTTGTTTTCACTCAGAGGTTTCAGGTTTTCAGAGCAGAGGGCTTTCCATCATGCAGTGACAGGTAAGAGCTGCTTACATTGGTGCACTTCAGTGTCAAACATCATTGGTGACTCTACAGTGCTCCTTGAAAGCCGATGAAAGGTCATGTATCTTCATGTCACCATGATGTAAAAGGTGTTATATGTGTGTGTCAGACTCAGACTGAGAGTCAGTCATGAGTGTGCATGGCGGTGGGTGAGATGGTGGTTGGGTTTCGCAGCGGCGTGGGGTGCACAGAGAGGTGCCGAGACGGGCTCTGATTCCCGGTATCATCTACTTGAAACCTCCCCTGTGATACCACAGCGGCACGGCGGCCCTGTATTGTATCAAGACCCTGAAACTCTGCTGAGAATTAACTTGGGTTCAGCTGTTATAGGGGCTGTTTGACATTTTTATCAGAGGCATGGTTTTAAATTGGTGCTTTTGAATGAGAAATGGACAGGTTTTATGACATTAAATTATGCGTACGAGTATAATGTAGGCTGGTCAGAAATCAACTTTTTTTAACTTAAAAGATACAGAGTAATGGTTGAATGTTAATGGACACATTTTTTCAAGTTTGGTTGCAAGTGTAGTTAGTTACGCACGTTTTAGTTTGTCCGTTTGTATATTTGGTGTGGAGTCAAGCATTTTGCTTAATCCCACATGGGATCACAGGACAATATAAAAGATTAAACATCAAAATTCACAGCAAGACATCTTCAAGTACAACATTTTCAAAACCAAAAGAAACCATTAAATACGTCAACATTATCATTCAAAAATGTAAATATAGATATAAATAAATACAATATCATAACCAATAGTGCTTATTATGCAGAATGCCCTCTTTTAAAGTGGAATATTATATTATTTGACTTTCTTTTATTGCTGATGCCATAATGTATAAACAACGTTTTTATGTTTATGTTTATGTATGTTTCTGTGAAGGTCATGTGTATAATGCATTGTAAGCACATTCATAAGACATTATAATGCATTTATCAGGCTTTATAACACTCTATAAATGTTTATAATCATGAATGACAACGTATAAGAAGGTTTATTAAGTATTGTAGTATAGTTGTGGTAGACATAATGTATTGTAAGTTGAGCCTTCATAATGCTGTATACCTCCATGTTAAGGCTACAACACGTCCCTATTTGCTACCTTTGCTGGTATACTATCATACAATTGTTAATAACCTTATACAGTGCTGTTACTTTACTTAAAGCTCATAAAGTCATGCTATAGCGTATTATTGATGTTATTATTGATGTGACATTATTCCATTTCAGAAATGTAGAATTTATGATCTGTTATGATACGTAGCATTTCTCTATATCTTTATAACTAAAGTTATTGTTGTTACCATGTTCTGTTTAACCCAGGACTCAGATTCTTCTTTCAAACACTGTCGTTACTTCGGCATAGAGATGAATGTGCACTATGAATGTGAACTCATAATAATAATAATTTCTCCTCGTAATACTTTTTAAATCTTCATATAAATTGCCATGCATTATTATCAACTTTTATAAAGATTTTAATAAAGCTATAATGCATTTACAATGTCTTGTGAGTGTGTTTATAAAGCATTATAGACATGAACTTCATAGAAAGTGTTGGCAAATGGGGTTTGAAGTGGAGCTAATTTTGTCTTTATATACTGGGTTGGTTGATAAATAACTATCATATCTCAAAAGCTGATGATATGTTTCAGATCTAAAATTAGACAAATTAGGAAAAGTTACTCATAACTACCGCTGCCAGATAAAGTACAGTTCTCTGAAATGCAGTGAAGTGCGGTAGAAGAAATAAGAAGCATAAAATAAAAAAAACTACAATTATGACAAAATTGTACTTAAATAACTTGAGGAAGTGTATTTTGTTATTTTCCACAGCTGAGTGAACGTAGAATTGCTGTTTAATGTCAAGCCAATTACTGAAATGACTTAAATTCATGTGAGATTAAAAGTGTGATCTGGTGTTTTTCTAAAGTAAAATTGTCAAATCTGGTCAAACCGTTTTGGTTCACAGTAACGGGTCGTCTTCTTCCCTTCTCTTGCTCTCCTTCTGTACCATTCTGACTGAAATCATAATTTCATTTAAACTCATTATCATTAAGTTTAAAGTAAAGCCATTCCCTCCTGTGGGCAATGTTTCAGTCCAAGTAGTTCCACTGTATATGAATATGGTTGTTCAACCATGATTTATCATCTAAATCATTCTAGAGAGAGGAAAGAAAACAACAGATTTTCAATCATACCTATGCAATTTCTCTCAAAGTGTCCCAGTGAATTTGGCCCTTTTATTCACAAGATTAATTATTCATATAGAAAAAAAGCAACTCTGGGAAATACAGAAGCTACACAGAGGAAGTATTAGTATCGCTCAAATTCATCTACCTGATTTTTTCAGTGCTGATTCATCTTTGAGGAAGTTCATGTCGTACACAGAAATCAGTAGATTTTGGAGACTGCTGTGATAGGAAAACCCTGCATGTTTGTTTCTATCAGTGGTATTTTCTTACAGACATATTGAGACTTATCTGGGGTGCAAAATAAAATGTCTCTGCCAGTGTTGAAATGAGGGTGGGGGGGCTTATGACAGTAGTAACTTTAAGACAGTGTGTGACCCATTTCGTGAAACTCGTAGGTACGTGCACAGCGTACATTTTAGAGTCAAATATAATGAGCCGATAAAACTCGTCTGAGGATGATCAAATACAGAGACGTGCTTCCTCTGTTAACATCTGTGACACACTTACATACACCTGTATGTTCTGAAAATAGTGAACGTCTCATCTGATACCATCTTGAGCCCAAACGACATTTTTAAACACAGAACTCAAGTCTCATAACAATGTTGTCACACACACACACACACACACACACCAAAACATGAGGAGTACACAGGAGTCGGTACAGAACTTTCTGTTTATTCATTTCCAATTCACTTCACCTGACAGACTTGATGCCATTCGTAGCGGTTGTTTACTAGCACTCGTTTTTAAAGTTATCTTGTTTTTCCTGTGCTATAAATGTCTTTCTGTGAGAAAAAAAAAAAAAGGGCCCAAAAAGAAAGCTCATTAAAACAGAATTTCTTAAAATGTATAATTTAAAACAGCTAAAGGAATGCCCAAAGAACAAGAATGGAATGTCTTTCACATATCTGGACGATGTACAGACGGTCAACAATAAAAGATCACAAAAGAACAAAATGCTCAATTGATGAGTGCATGTCCATGGTTGCTGTATTTTTTCTTAGCACCAAAACCCCCAATAAAAGTTTAAAAAAACCCCAACAGGTTATAAAAACCAAAAGACTCAGAAAGACTTTGACCAAATTAATTTATATTCTGACTAAATAAACACATATAAAGTCCTATTGCTTGTTGTAAAAAGAAATGACTTGCATTGTTTGCCATTCCTATCATTCCTACGGATTAGGATTGATTTATGGGTGTTTTTTTTTTAAACCAAGTTTAATCTGCAGGTAGCTTTCCTATTATTTGGCGCCATCTTTAGCCTGTATAGGGGAACTTCAGCAGGACTGCTTGTCCGGCTTTCAGGGAAATTTCGTCCAAGTTAACGGTGGAGTCTACTGTCAGCTCTTCGTCAGTTGAAAGCACCACCGTGGCTGTTTCTGGCAACTCTACTCCTTCTGCAGGAACAAAGATCAGGGTGTTAAAAGAACTACTGTTAATGTGCGTTATTGATAGGACACATTAGGACTTAATATTTCTGTTGAACTTGCCTGTTGGTGCCAGTTTGAGTGTGAGCGTCTCAGCTGCTGATCCCCAGTTGACAGCTGTTACGTATCTGTCGCTCTGGTCCCACAGACGGAGGAAAGAGAGGGAGGAGGCGGAGGAGTAGAGAGGGTAATAGTCGCCGTGGAGGAGAGAGCGCTCTTTGCCTCGCAGGTCGCTGAGGGATATGAACCACTTCCTTAAATCGACGCGCTCCTTTCGCTCAGCCTGTATATGTGAGAACAGAGGGGGTTTTTTTTGGTGTGTTTTTAACAATGTCATGTCTAGTTTGTTTTTCCCTGTTCTACACTGACATTCACTGAACACACTCTTACCTCAGTAGTCTCGTTGACAGCAGCTCCTTCAGTAGGTTCCTTCTCTATGTCCCAAACCATCTTAGGAGATTGTGAATCCTGATAAGGAAACAAAAAGGGGAAAGACAAAAGTTACACTCTGCAACAGCTGTAGGCTAATCAAAACATTCCAACATCTGCTCTGGTCTATAATTTACCTGAGTTGCCTGAAGGCCGATCTCATCTCCATACGTAAACACCGGGGTTCCAGGCATGGTGAACAGCAGGAGCTGGTAGAGACGTTTCAGGCCCGTAGTGACTGCCTCTTTAGACAGCTGGTTGTTTTTGGTTGCACCAAGACCCCAGCCCACACTTCTCTGCTGAAGATTAAGGATGTTCATGGCCTCGATATACTTCACACCTGCAAATATTTAGGTAAGATTTGCACCATTTTACACCAGCTGTTTGGTTTTCAATCAAAAATGGACATTTGTGTCTTTGCAATCGTTACTCATTTTGACACTAAGGAACTAAAGATGGAGAGAGTGATAAAATGCATAGGATAAGGAGAAAATAGGTACAATTTGAAAAAGAGGTATTCTGTCTAAAATATTATATTGTGCTCAAAATAATTTAACAGGGCACATCAGCCTACCTTCTTTATTGCTGCTGAGCAGGTCAGACAGGATAAGATCTACACCCGTGGTATTGACGAGCTGTGACACCTCTGCAGCCGAAATGCTCTGAACCACACCCATCAGCAGCCTGAGAGATAGAGAATGTGGTTAGGATTAATGACATGTTAGAGCAAAGGAGCATGGGGGTAGCTGGCTTACACTGTTGACACTGCTTTCAGTAGCAGTCGAAATGAAAATAAAATGTTAGTTATGGCATAAGCTGTTTAAGAATAGCATAACACTCTGATTGGGTAAATCATCTTGAAATCCTCCCTCGAATGTTATAATCACATTTTAGAAAACTCCATCTTGTGTCTTTACTTAAACCCTCCACAAGGTGTCACTTTACCATGAGAGAATGTAAAGCGCCTCTGGCTCGTGGATGCTTTTCTTGTTGATCTGTCTCTCCCTAACCCCCACCCACCGTTCCCTGCAGCACTGGAATGCTTTTAACCTCCACCTTCCCTCAGGAAACATGTCAGTTGACATTTTACTGATGCTTTGAAAATTTACCTTCCCAAGGAAGATTTGCCAAGAATTCATCAACAACTTTAAGATCTGTTCATTTAAGTCTTGATCTTGAGGTGGATTTGCCAAATAGAGGTTCTTGTAACTCCTCGTATTCAGATAATTTGTTAATATATTGTATCAGTGCATTCTTTGCTTGAAATTCATTTCCCTTTACCTGCGGGTAATCCGCATTTAAATGTATCCCAAAGTATTGCAAATGAAACATTCTGTGTTCCTGCATAGATTATCTACTTATGAAGAAGCAAAGGAAGTGAGAAAATGGCAGCCGTGGTTACCTCTTCTTGGTGTCCTCAGTGCTGTTGCTCTGAAAAGCAGCCTGCAGCTTTGACCAATCAACAGAGGTGGAGGCAAGACTGAGGTCAGATATCTTGATGCCATCAACACCCAAATTCAGCCAGTACTCCGCTGCAGCCTGGAAGAGAACATGAGCATGTTAGCTACAACAGCAAGGACATTGATCAATATTCAATAACACACACACACACACACACTCAAAAGTTACTGAATGAAGATCACAGGGTGTAGTGTATGTGTCCTACCGTGACTTTCTCTAGCACATCATCAACATTATCAGCGTTGAACCAGGGATTATCTCCCGCGTAATTTGGAGTCAGATCAAGGACCACAGAAATGCCTAAGAGAAAAAGTAAAGAAAAACAGTTAAAAGGATATTACTCTCTTATTATTAGCCTGAGAATGAGCCCAACATTTGTGCTGGTTTGGGCTTTTACACCCAAATAAATGATTTAAGCTGACAACCTACCCTTCTTGTGAGCCTTTTCCAGCACAGCGACCAGGGCTTCCAGGGATCCCTGGGTCGGGTTGATCTCTTTGAGATTCAGGGTGTTCAGCTGGTTGGGCTGAACAGTGTGAAGAGGGCCAAGAACCAGGCCTTTCACCTTCAACTGGTTTATGTTGTCCAACTTTGCCTCAACACCTACAGACAAGTAGAGGGACAGGGAGGGAGAATGAAACGTCATGTCAGTGTGACTTTCACATTGGGGAAAGACAACAAAGTTGATGTGTGAAAGGTAGCAGGGTCAGAGGGTACGGAAGAAGGGCAGAAGTCTGGAGAGACATTTTGATGGTTTAGGAGACAACTACACAAGTAAAAAAAACTGCTGATCTTTTAGCTAGGCATTGACTTGAGGCAGGGCCACGTGAATGACTCCCTCCACTCTCTCTGCAGGCCATGTGAAGTCTGAGCACAAGGAGGTTCTTTATATGAAAACACCACGAGTCACGTGCGGTTGTTGGAATTCTGCCCAAGGCCTGTTGGAAACCTGAGTGCTCCCTAGTAACTCACTTTAAAGAGCAGCAGAACAAGCTCTCCTCCCTTACTGCCACTTCAAACAAACTTATATGGTTAAAAGGAAAATTTGAAAATGGAGTCTGAGAGGAACTAGTTTAAATCAGTTCTGAGATCTGAAACCAAGTCTAAAAAAACTTGTACTGTACTGGGTTGCTCAACCTCGACCTCCAGTCTGAGTAGGAGAGATCTGAAAGACATGACTCGTAGGCTTTTTATGTCCTTTAGACCTTGAGTCACGTTGCGAGCCTTGTCAGCAGTTTGGTATCTGGCCAGCTGAAGTAGGCCAGGCAGAACTAAGGGAAGCCAAGACCTTGTAAGACTCATCCCTTACAAAGTAGAGTGGGTTACCACACCAAAACCAGACCACTTTGTAAAGATAATCTCTGTTTTGGGAATAAGAAAATAAACATATTTCACTGGAGGTACTCTACCTGCAATTCCTTCAGCGAAAGCGTCAGTGTCAGATATCTGATACATAGGTCCTTCGTTCCACCAGTTCATTGTAGGGATGGGTTTGCAGCGCGGGGCCTGGACTATGATCACTATGGCTCCAGCCAGCATGCCTATCCAGCCCAGCCAAAACAGGACAAGAAGCACCCAGCGGGTTCGCACCCATCTAAACAAAAGTAATGAGAAATAAAATGTTAAGATGACAACGCCAATACAGGAGCTATACATTTATTTTAAAAAAGTGTTTATAGCAACTCTTATAGCCCAGTAGCTCTTACCCTGGAGTGCCAGCAACCTTCATCAGCTCCTCTTTGGACAGGCCGGTGAATGTAACCTCGTCCTCAGGGACCTTCTGCTTGACGCTGCCATTTTTCTCTCCACCTGCAGCCTGGCCGTCGCCTGTCATGGGCTGCTTCTCAGGGTCGACCTCATTGAGCTCCACGTCCTTCATGTCAATCTCTGTGTCCTTATTCATGGTGAAATCTGATTTGTTTTAGAGACGGAGGTTCAAAGGGGTGGATAACAGAAGGAGAGACAGAAATAGAAGTTATGTTAATTAGTATGTTCTCCAGGGACAGGGACAGGGAGTGGGCCCTGAAAACTTGTGCTCAGCAAAAAAAAAAACAGTCTTGTTTCCCTGGAAGCAAACATATGAAAGAGAAAAGAGGAAGAAAGACTCGAGATAGGTGTTGCTTAATATCGTTGGCACCAGTTCTAAACTCAACATTAACGTTATCTACAGGTAGCTAGCAGCATCTGTTTGCTAGTTCAACTGAAACAGAGCTCGGAAAAATTTTACTTATCAGCTACTTTTTTTTTAATAAAAACTCAAATGGGCAGACAACTTTTGAAAAGGTTTGTAACTTAACGAGTTTTGTATTCAACTGTTACTACAAACAGACAAACAGCATCAACGGAAACAATGTAGGTTAACTTCACAATAAGAGCGGATGCTAACGTTAATTACTTCGGTTTACTGTAAAGTAAGAATATAAAGAATATTGTTGCAAATACAACCTTACGAGGATGAAATTGAGCATTCGTCAACGATTTCCTCTGAAATGTCTCGCTTTATGTTGCCCCTTTTAGGCTCAATGTTAAAACATGATTATCTTATTTGTCTAAGTTACTTATAAATCCTACCGGAAGTCTGTACCGTTTGCCGCCGGTTCGTTCTTGTTTTCTTTCAAAACTCATTTATTAGAAATATAACTTGAAATATCTCTGCCCAAAGTCGTTTATCGAACTATTTCAAATTTTTTTTAAAAATGACACATAGCTATCACAATCAACAGCCTTTAAATAAGTTTGACATCGTGTAACATCTCTCCTACACAAGATGATGAAATAAAGCCGACCACCACGTCACAACACGAGTCAGTACACGAGTCTCACTCTTTCCACTCGCGGCTCTTTAAGGCAGTTAAACTGTTGTATTTCTTCTGTGGCTCGATGAAGTAAAAATAAAAATAAAAATCAACATTACCTGTTAAAAAAAAAGCAACGTATATTCCGTCGGGGTTTGTTTCTATGTTTCTCGGCCGTTTATCCTTCGGTCTGAACTAATCTGTTGTAAAGAGGCTGAGCCTGTTATTTGTAGTCGTCCTGGTTTCTCCGCCTACCATGGGACGACCCAATAATCCCTCTCTCTCTCTGTCGCTGTCTCTCTATGTCTCTCTCTCTTCTCAGAAACAGACTAACATTAGACCACATGCTAAAAAAAAAAAAAAAAAAAATCCCAGAAACAACAGCTGTTTTAATACCCCACGTTCAGTTTATGAACAATTACATTTATTCTATGAGCCAGTTTATTGATGCAAGAATCAATATAAGCTTTTTATGTCCCATACATGCTCATGGTAGAGACAGAGCACTGTTAAAACAACCAGACACAACAGTCTCTAACCACAGGCCCTGTCAATAGCCCTGTCACACTGAAGCATCCTCTTACCTACAAATGATTAATTATCTATTTAGAGTTTAATACACACTGTGCTATAACATGTGCATATCATCCATCAGTGTCAATATAAATCGTATACACTGTATCTACTATATATAGTTTGTGTATTCATGCATATTCTATACATAACCACTCACTTCGTGCATATCCATTTAATATTTATTTCTGTATCTGTATATGTTTACAATTTACTGAAACATTTGACTTGATATTTTTGGTCAGTGTTGCTTTTTATATATATTTGTATACACACTTACCTCTATGCATGCATGTAATAGTGCTTATATGTTTATGTTTATGTATCTTTGTTCAGTGTTGTTGTCCTTGTTTAGCTGTACGTAAGTCAAATTCCTGTGTTTATTTTATGTTTGTTATGTCTGTCTTAACATAGTTTCAGCCATAGTCCCGGTTTGTTAAACAGACACAGAATCCATAACTTTAAAGTTATTTTGCACTTTAAGTATAAATTAGTGCCAAAGGTGGTGACGGTGGTTAACAGTTGCCCTCATGAGTTTTAAAATGGAAAGTTATTATGCTAGAAAAAGTCATGCCATAGAAAGAAAGGTTAGGCTGCAAATATTCTGCTAAAAATGTTAGCAATAACTTACAAATTCTGTTTGGTTATGCAAACCTTTGCAGAAGATAATATAATCAGTTTGCTGATGACCTATTGATAGATTGATTGATTGCATTATATCTAGGTTTCTGCTGAGGCCTTTAATCGTTTCATTAGTGGAGATTGCCACTCTGTTCCTTCCTTATCCAGTCTGACCCCCACATTCTACCCCTTCCCTCCTTCTGTTGTACCATACAGACCTTGTTTGCACCATTTCCCCCCTCCATTAACAACTGACAAACCTTTACACAGTAATCTGTATAGCTGATATGATCATGCTGATACTACAGAGCTAACCAACAGTAAGTATTGTAAGTATAAATCCCTGCTGATGCAGTAAGCAAATGATTAAAAAAAGTATGCCCTGGGTGGTTTGCATTAACAAGTGATTGAGCGGATTGGAAAATATGATGGCAGTCAGACAGTGATCAGTCTCCTAAACCGGGTCCAGAGACAGCAACGTCCCTTATCATTACCATAATGTACAGACTCATTCTGTGAGTCTGCATTTCTTTCAACTTGTGTGTGGCTCTAAATATGGCTCGTCTGCCACTATTTTAAGATGTCAAGTTGTTGTTTACACAACTGCTATTTCATTTCTACATGCAAGAATAGAATAAAGGTTGAGCAAATGAATGTTGAAAATCAATTAAATTAAGCAATAATGCAGTCTGTATTAAATCAGAGAGAGCATTTGCCATCAGCTAATCTAAAAAACAATGTCCTCCTGTCCGTCCCCCAGCTCTGAAGCCTTCCCCAGCTGTTGTTGACCGTCATAGAGTTACGGTAACAGCAGGCTTCTTGGAAAAGCACCCACAAAATCTCTATGTCATGTACATGAAGTACTGTGGTATGTTTCAGGCCATATTTGTACAGTACAGTAGAAGATGGAGGGAAGGAGAATGAGGATGTTGTTGTTGCTGTTGTTGTTGTTGATCTCAGTCAGGGACAGTATGCAACCTGAGAGTCTGTATAAATATTTATGAGGAAGAACATCCTTGGTATTACTTTAATATGGCTACAAGTCCTATCTGTGAAAATGCTGAGAGGGTAATATTTTTGTAATTTACATGGCATGGGGCACTAATTGGATTAACTGGCTGGTAGAAAGAAAGCACATGGAAAAGATAAGAAAAATCTTTTCATGATTGATTAATGGCTTGATGATTGGGCTTCTATCTTCTCCCACTTCTTTGTTACCCCCACCCCCACCCCAATATCTACACTGCCCTCTTGTCCTTTACCCTTCCTGTTTTCTTTCTGTCTCCCTCCACCACTTTGATCTGGTGTAACTGCACCTTTGTGTGTGTGTGCTTGTTTTGTGTGCCTGTATGTTTTTGTCTCTATCCTATAGGCCCGAAGGGTTTTATAGTGATGCAAAGTGTTTTGACGTGTGTTTGTCTTGAAAAACTTGAAACAAAATCCTCAGAAAACCACATTTTTCATTCCCTTTTTCTCATTCAGAGCAATTTATCAGGCTATTTTGCAAGCTAGTATAAGGTAATACAGATCTTAGGCGAATAACAACCCAGTTGATGGTATTTTATTTAAGTGGCTTTCAAATTGTGTACAGATTATAGATTCAGTGATTCTCTTCCAAATCAAATGACACACTAATGTACTATTATTAGGAATAACGCTACTGAGAGATTGCTTGGGCGTCACTGTCACCCCTGCTATTGGTTACATATAGAGCAAACATAAACACATCCACTATAAACGCTTTATAAATGCAGGCCTTTCTATATTTGGGTCTGGGGTAGTGCTGTGTGTCTATTTGTGGATCTGTGACATTATAACCTGTTAAGTACAACAACCTCAATCATTGTGCCAGGTTTTGGAAAGTTGTAACGGACATGTTTTTCCGAAATTTAAAACTGGAAACGTAGAAAACCTCTGATGACCATTTCGATATTGCCAAGAACAAAATTAGAACACGCCATCTACCTCTCTCCTCTGACCAAACTCAAACACACACCATCTGCTTCTGTTTTTATCTCAGCCTGTTGATCGTGTGTGTGTTTGGCAGAGCCCGGCTGTAATAGAGCTGTTGACTGCTTGCTGATGTGAACACACTCTGCTGTTGATATTCATCATCTCAAGACTTCTTTTGCAAAAACACATAGGCACCATTTTTACAATGAATAAACAAACACCAGTTGCATTGATAAAAAAACATGGTGATATATATAAATATCTGAAATCTAAAATGAAATGAAAGTTTTGCAACTGAACCGATCTCTTCTCTATTTTCTGAACTTTTCTGCTGTAACAGACTAAAAACGAAGAGTTAAAGGGAACAATGTCTGGAGAGACAATGATGTTGGATCGTGGGAGAAAACAAGGAAAGAGGAAGAGACAGATGAGAGGCTGTGCTCAGGAAACAAGAGTAAGGAGGAGTGGCCAGGAGAGGAGGGGGAGCCAGAAAAAAAGAGGGGAAAGGGCAAACAAAGAGCGAGACAAGGAGGATATGTAAACATGTTTATGAGTTGAGGGAGTAGCAAAATTTGGAGGGGAGCAAAACCTTAATGGAAACACAGCACTAAGCTACAGCAAGACTGTGTCTTTTCCACTCTTTTCCCACCTGTTGAGTCCTGTTGAGTCCTCACTCTCTAACAACCAGAACTTGATGACACAATGGTGATAAGTTCACAGAGGACACATTCACTCTAAGACTTGTTCTGCCAGTGTGCTTTGTTCATGTTTGGCAGTAGAGAAGGGGACAGTGTCACTAAATCCATCAGCAAGACTGAACAACTCTCTCTCTCTCTCTCACACACACACACACACACACACACACACACACACATAGAGGACAGGGATAGAAAGGAAAGGTTGCCTGTTTTCTCTGCAGGAGGGGAACAGGCAGGGACTAATGTACATTACATTACACTGGTGGTTCAGGGTTGCAGTTTCAGAAAGACACAACAGCTTACTGAAGATACCGGTTCAGCAATTCTAAGCCAGACGTGCTATATGACATACACAAGTAGATTGAATAAGTATAACTGTAGTAAGATTTTAGACTTCCAATGTGTTGGCCTGTACATTGGTAGCTGCGATATCACAGGCTTAACACAATGAAAAATATGGGCAATAATAAACTATGTTTAGTTTTTTCTAAAATCTCTAAAATATTGAATTTAGTGATGTCTGCAGTTCCCTGTCTCGTTCTGTAACAAAATGAGAGTTGTCAGGCTGGAGGGACACACACACATGAATGCACACACACAGGGCCTCACTATAAATCCTTGTCTGATCCCTCTGAGAGAGTTTATTTTGCAAGACTTGAAAAAAAAGAAAGCACAGCAGAGCAGACCTGGACCAGTTTAGACCAGTTTGGCTCGGGTCTCGTGCTTTCATCTCATTGTTTTCAGGCTCACAGTCAGCTAAGACTGAACCAGTGTAGATCAGAGGAAACTTTCTGCTTTCACTGAATCTAAAAAAAGACATAATGTTCATGTGTTCACAGATTTGTTTGTTCAGCTTTTGAAGCTTTTCCCCTCAACCATACAGTCATACACAGTATGTTATGTATTTCTGGTGCCCTGGATATGGTGTTATAATATTAGGGGAAAGAAAAATCCACAGACCACTATGTTGTTCTGATTGTTGGAGGCTAATTTATAGAGAAGGTTGTGAGCCGAACATTTCACAAGTTCATACAACACACACACATTCAGTAATGTTGGGCGTACTTCATTGGGACATTATCATATTGTGTAATGTTATTGCTTTATGTTCTGTTCCACTGATAGCACTGCTGTATATTGTAGGTGTACATTGAACCACTGAGTACAGCAGTGACATCCAAATTCACAGACACTCCAGGCCTTAAGTGTACATTTGAACAACTTTTCTACTTTAAATCTCTCCTCTTCCGTTTGTCTGTAATATATTCCTTCCTGTTTTTCTCTGCCTTTGTTCCCTTCTTTTTCTGTAGATGAGAATGTGTGGCCTACTTTTCTCTCACAGACAAAGGCGAGACTGTTCACTGTGGAAAGCCTCCCTCTCTAACTCTTTACCGGCATGAATGGAGAGCTAATATGGACAAAGTACACATTAGTACATTCATCACAGAAAAACATCAAACCTTTAGATTTCCCACAAGTTTCATGACAAATTGATAAATATTTTTGAGATTTTATCATAGTAAAGTTGAGATTTTATCATAGTAAAGTGATAGATTAGGCACACAGTAATGATCTTTCTCAGTCCACAGCCATCTGCATTCATCAGCTATGTCCATCCATCAGCCTGCTCTACTGCTTCAGCATTTTTTCTCTCGCTCTCCTTTTCTCTCTCTGAAATGTGTTCCCCTCTCTAAGCCCCTTTCTCTCTCTCTCTCCCTACCACCACCTCTCTCTGCCAGGAGCAAACAACGGCTCTGTTAACATTATGTAAGAATATTCATCTCTGTGAGAAGAATTACAAACAGCCCACACATGTAGTGCTCTTTTTCTCCCCTCCCCTTTAAGTGCAGCAGAGTGGCGCAGCGGAAGCGTGCTGGGCCCATAACCCAGAGGTCGATGGATCGAAACCATCCTCTGCTATTTTGTACAGTATGACCTCTCCTTGTCCGCATATGCCTAAGCAGACAGATATATGGTGTATCTATGCTGCATGCATACAACCACTGTATGAAAGTATAGAAAACAATCCTAAATACAGATTACTAGTGTAGACTTAACACATCCTGTTTGACTTTGTCATTTTTTGAAAACCAGCCAAAACAGTTTGTCTTAAATTAAATATTTACCTCATTTGTGTCTGCTACACAATTTCCCTTCAGTTTAACTGACAATTACCATAAAAACACTGACCTTTGAGCTACAGTCTGTTAAACCCACACTCTCTTGGCCTTGAGAAGGTTTTGTCTACATAATATAAAAGACATATTCGAGTATCTTCTGAAAAAAAGCAGCTTTGAGTATCTTCTGAGTAGTTTGATCCTTTCTGTGCCTTTGTGAGTCTGCAAACAAGTAAATTAAATAAAGTAAAATGATAGTGTAAGGTCCTGTGACTTCTCAGGAGCTGGGAAATAACATCTAAGGAAAGAGGTTGCTCATTTTTGTTGTATAATATGGATGCACAGCTGGAATTTCCTCAGCATTACAGTTAAGTCTGTTGTTGTTCTCTTTGTTGTATTGTCTCAAACAGGGTAAGGCCTAGACCTTCATATGTTTATTTTTTATTTCTTTTTTTTTATATTTGACACAGACATGCAAGTTAATTTCCACTGGTTGTATCAGAAAGGTATCATCAAACAATCAAAAAATTATATCACAGTTTTTATTTACTGTAAAGTCCCTTTTCTACTTTAGTGGGCTTCACTGGGTACGTTACCTAAACCTTTAGCGCCCCCTGGAGTATTCCAATGGTCTTTACAATGATACAAAAAAGAGACAACACTGATGATTACACATATTATGATACATTTTACCAATTTTTATCACTTTAACTTGGATGTTAATTAACCACTGTTCTTATAGCCTACAAATGGCTTTTAATGTTAATTCAGGAGGTAATTAATTTACATACATTTTATTTCAATACAAAATCTGACATACGTACCTTCTAATTCATGTGGCATTTTAAAAGCACTTGGAATTAAAGCTTTATGTGTCTATTTTTAAGATATTTATATTAGGTTCTTACATCTCTTTGTTTATTGCAACAGCAGTGTACAAACTAATGTAAATGTAATGTGAAGCCCTATTGTCTTGATTTATCCGTATATGTGACATAACTGACTGATTCTATACTTTGCAAAGAGACCATCCTAATTTCAATAACATTTGAACTGCAAAAACACAAAGTCTGGCATATTGATCCACTGCAGCTGTTGTGCTGTTTGCACCCCTATGTCTATACCACTGTCTTTAATGCTGAGATCAGGAAAAAGATATCAGTGTTGGTGATATATTCCAGTAGGGAAAAGAAAATGGGTAAGTGGGTTAAAGAAGTTGCGAGTGGTGTGTGTGGTTAAAAATAGGTAAGGCTTTATGTGTGCATAAGAATACAATAAAGTAATAAAGTAGGCTAATTATGTTACAAAATAGTGTTCCTAAATACATCAGACAACACAGAAAATATAGAGAGACATACAAATATAATGCTACTCCTACTAATAAGAATTAAATTTAAATAAAGACAGAAATGTCTCGCAAATTGAGAAAATTGAATAATTTGACGTCGAACGTGACGCATCTATCCATACGTAATCACGCATTGGCACACGTCACCAACCCGGAAGTGAGCGGAGAGGAGGGACAGAGGGAAAATCACAACATAGCTACTACAGCTCTGACAGCTCTGCTTTGTGCCGCTGACACACGTTTTTTCTACCGACACCGGACATGTCACGAAAACCCAAAGATGAATATTACCGTTTTTTTACCGTTTCAGACCCACGCACACACGAGAAGGGACACACCGAGTACAAAGTGACTGCGAGGGTTGGTTTACACTCTTTATCTCTAATACCTGTGGTGTTATTGTGTTTATTAACTCTCTGTTAAGCTCATTTACTCACGGTCTGCCTCAATGTTAAATATGTTATATGTATGTTAAAGTACGTAACACGCACATTGTGTCGTACGTTGTTCAGTTGTACTCTTTGGTCAGTTACATCAATCTAAAGTGAGTGACTTTGTATTGTTATTTGTTTATAACACAATGAAGTCACTTCAGCACTAGTCATAAAAACACAAAGGCCCTGCAACTAGCTCAGACACATAGATACATACACAATGGGCCTTTTATGTGAGACAGCGGCCCACGGTGAGCACTCAAGGGACGCAGACTGAACTTGTGATCCATTTCATGAGCTCCAGCACCCCCATGACCACACTCAGACCCCGTGGTCTAGACAGGCATGCATACAAGAGTGGATCATATCTTCATAGACCTAAGCCTTCAAATGTTTGAACCATTCTCTGAAGATAAAAAACTGTACGCTGAGCTGCTTCTCTTACCTCTCTGTCCTGTAAATCTGTTTCGAAACAAACTATCACCCATTATTTCAACAGACTGTCCTTTGATATGTGCAAAGGTGCCAAAAAGCTGGTCTGACACTTAGTGTAAAACATGCCGCAAGTGAAACAACCTGTCTTTTCTCCTCTGTGGTTTGTAGTTTGTGTCCAAGCGTCATCCTGAAGATGTGAAGGAGGTGGTCGTGTGGAGGAGGTTCTCAGAGCTAAAGAAGCTCCATGGGGAGTTGGCCTACACACACAAGAACCTGTTCAGAAGACAGGAGGAGTTTCCACCTTTTCCTCGGGCACAAGTCTTTGGTATAATGGGGGGGAAATTGCGATACACTGTAGATACAACCAATTCCAGCATGTTCAACAAGTGCTAAGATCACTGGCTAACTGAGTTGTTTAGGGTGCCGCAGGGACTAGATAAATAACGGTGGAAATTCAACACAGCAGTCGGGTTTAAGCTTTCTGGAGAGGATGTAATTGTTCCAGCTTTTAGCATTTTGTCACAACTATTGTGACATTTCCTCTCGGCTGATTACGTTACTTTCCAGCGGTTACAGATTCACAAAAGCAAAGGCAGCAACACAGTCGAGTCAGTTGAGACAATCACCATTTTTTAGTGAGTTTCCTTGTTGGTTAAGGGAACAAAGACAAAAAAAGAGTTACAGCGGCTCCAAACCTTCACTTATGCTGAATTAATGGGATATTTGCTTCACAACACTGCAAACTACAGCCTGAAAATGATTTGACAAAAGACAAATTGTCATTATTATATTGCTTATGTTATTGTCTGTCTCTGTTTCAGGGAGGTTTGATGAGGCTGTAATTGAAGAGAGGAGGAAGGCTACAGAGGCCATGCTTCTCTTTACTACCAGCATACCTGCACTCTACAATAGCCCACAGCTCAAGGACTTCTTCAGAGTAAGACACACTCACAGACACACATACATGTACACATATAACAGTCAAACAGATATGAAACAGCACAAAAAAACAACGATGTTACTGCACTCTGCTCTCCTTCATCCTACCTTTCTCCTTCCCTACATCTACCACGGCTTCCTCTCTTTCTCCCTCCCTCCCCTCAGGGTGGTGAGGTCATGAGGCCTCTAGATCTCACCCCTCTGTCCTCTGCCGGGCCTCTGCCTCCCCCTCTCATCCCCCTCCCCAAGCGGAGGGCCTCAGACTGTGAACCTGCAGAGGAGGAGGAGGGGAGGGAGGCTCCCACCTTACCCCAAGACCTGGGCACCAACGTAGGCTTAGAAGTGGGAGAACCGGAGGTGGCGGCTGAGGCTTACAGCGAGATGGGAGGCTCTCCGAGAGAAGAAGGAGAAGAACGAGAGGAGCTTAGCGATACAGAGCTGGATGACAGAGGTACGACAGGGAAAAACATCTACATGGGTCTCTACTTCTCTTTTCTTTCGTTATTAATCTTGTTTTTACCTTTTGGACCATGTTTCCACCTCCAGTCCCGTCTCCTTACCCGTCCCCATCCAGAAACCACCAATCACAAGAGTCCCAAGAAGAATTTGATTCACTGTTTGACTCCGTGGCAGAAGAGCAAGTCCCATCTCCGAAAGAGGAGTGTCCACCTCCACTGTCTGATAATGACTTGGCTGTCTTTGATCCCTGCTGTAAACAAGGTGAAAATAAATGTGTATGCATATAAAATAATACCACTATCTTAATCTAACTACAGCCTGTTTTTTCAGTCTTTGCTGAATTTGTCAAAAGGTTCGCGTTTTGTGCAGATTCTGTTTTTTTTACTTCTAATTTATTTTTAATTTGAAGTAATAATTCCCCATGGATGGTGTCGAGGCTTCCTCATTGTACCTCCTTCACTCATACTGCTCTGGTTCCAGTTTGTGAAAATAGGCTGAGTGGTGTTTTGTATTTATGTAGAGCAGACACTTGTGCATCATGACACCAGGCTGTGAAATACAATATGACTGTCAGGAAATAAAACAACATATAATTTGCTCTGAACTGAGGTCCTTTTGTTGGGCTCGTTCAATAATGGAGTTACGTGGTAAATAACAAGCATTTAAAATAGTAAGGAAAATGCATAACAAATGAAATAGCTCTGTAGTATGTACATTGTTCTAAAAAGGATGTTTTCATCAACTGCTGACAACTTGCTGATTGGACCAAATGAAGTTAAGTGATCTAAAGGAGCTTTACAGACCAGCAAGTGTTAGTCCTTTCTTCTGGGTAGTCTAAAGGTGATCTGTCCTTCCCAATAAGATGTCCGATAGCGATATGTGCAATTTGCGTGGGTAGCGTGGCCGAGCGGTCTAAGGCGCTGGATTAAGGCTCCAGTCTCTTCGGGGGCGTGGGTTCGAATCCCACCGCTGCCATGGATGTTTTCCAGCTCAAGCGTGCTCTCTGAGGAGTTTGATCTTCAACTGTAGAAAAAGGATGTTGAACATGTTGTTTGTTCAAGATTATCTGTGGTACAAGGCAAAATGTCGATGAAATATTGTAGTAGAAAATCTTACAGACAATAACTTTGTTGTCATCATTTTTCTACCAGTAAATCTTTTTCTTTTGCTTTCTTTCTCTATTTCAGAAGGATCCAACACCTCCACTGATCACTCAGAATTGTTCTCGCTGCCACCATCGAGTCTGGATGGAGGTGACGCAGGTTACTTGAACCAAGCTGCCACTGAGCTAACAGCTGCAATGGAAAGGGAGAAGGAGGGAGAATTTAGTTGTGCCATTCGTGGATACAGGACGGCAGTGGATATACTGATCACTGGAGTACAGGGTGAGAGAGGATGCATGAGGGGACTGAGAAAAAATGTGTTGTATTCAGTTCAGCAACAGTCCAGCAATGAATGTTTCCAAAATATTGGTCAAAGAAACACATGGTAACAAAAAGGAAAAAGGTAAATTGGGTGGTAAATAAAAGATCTGCAGAGGTGCAATCTATTCAATCTGGCACTTTACCTGAATACACTGTGCCATGTTCATTTCTGTATGAAGCATGAGCCAGCTGTGTTGCTATAGTGACAGACCATGCGCTCAGTTGCAGAAATTGCAAAGTGCGTGACCGTGCTCCATGTGCATCCACTCATACTATATTGTGCATTTAACTATAATATCTTGCTTTCCATATTTACTGTGCACTACATGTTCCGGGTTTCTGCTCACACGCCATCACTCTGATAAATGCATTGTATACAGCTGATACACACGTGCACACACAGGCAAATGGGCAATGCACAGAAGAGCATGTGTGGCTGCGTGTGACCTCATCGTAAAATCAACACTGCTTTTTTGTTCCAGTATTTACTCTCCTGTTTTAGTAAAGGTAAAGTGTGTGCTGCTCTAAATTTACCTGTTAAATCGCTAATGGGTGAGTTATTAATTATACCACTACTGTTGTCTCCTTACCTATTAACGGTAGCGTGGCCGAGCGGTCCAAGGCGCTGGATTAAGGCTCCAGTCTCTTCGGAGGCGTGGGTTCGAATCCCACCGCTGCCAAAGATATTTTCAGTTTAAGACCTAGAGGAGTCTTACTGAGGAACTACATCGTAAACTGTCAAAAAAGGAAAGGAAAAAAGTCAACTGGGCTTTTTCTCGGAATCTTAATGAATGCTGCAGCAAGTTAGCTCATTTATGTATTTCTGGAGTCAGCCAGCTCGCTGTCTGTCTGTCTGTAGCCTTTTATTTCACGAAACTCTCGCCAACTAAAACCCAATCTGAGATTTCCTTTTGTAAATCCTCTTGGTCGGTCACTCTCCTTTTCTCATCTTAGCTTCCTCCATCACTGTCCTCTTCGGTCTCTTAACTTCTGCTGTGATGTTCGTAGAGGCTGCTTAGCCCAGTTCCATTGCCTGCTCACCTGGCTCCGGTTCTGAAAAACCTTTTCCTCTTGGCGGTCTTATGCTCTTGTGCTAGCTGTATAAATACACCCAAACTCCCAAACTATGCTAACTAGCCACTGGCAGCTGCATTTAGGAGCAGTTAACGGTTAACTTACTGTAGCAGCTAGTGAAGCTGTCTGTCCATCAGGAAGCTCTGTAAATCACAGACCGCCATGTAGCAGCCGGAGGAATATGATATAGTTTCACCAAAAACAGTGACATAGGTGGTGGTGTGTGACCGGACACCAAAGTTACATAGTGCAAGAACAGGGAGACGGGGAGCAGAGTGGGAATTACAGAGGCACCATTCATCCTATTATTAAAGTAAAATACTGGCATAATGTTGCTCTAATATTTTATTGCCCCAAGATACAGTACACGCTGAACCATCTTATGTGGACTTAAACTAACAAAAAAAAGTGTGTCATCTGCTACTATGCTAGCCATGATAACATTCTAATGAGTTATATGTGGTTGCTGTGTGCCTTCCCACTCTCTTTTCTTTTCAGTTCAGATCTATTCTTGGCTGGGTTAACGTTGACCTGCCCCTCCCCCACAATTTTTGTAACAGTGATTGGTGTACTGTCAAGAGGTAGCGTGGCCGAGCGGTCTAAGGCGCTGGATTAAGGCTCCAGTCTCTTTGGGGGCGTGGGTTCGAATCCCACCGCTGCCAAGGAACTTTTTCAACTCAAATGTGCTTTCTGAAACCCATTTTGATTGTTGACATGACATCATGTGCAGATAATACTCTCATTTCACCAGCCTCTGAAGGTAGGAAGCCTACCATAATCACCTCTTTCTTCCTGTCTATGTGTCTGTCTGTCCAGGAGACCCAGATCCGATACGCAGGGAGTCTGTAATGAGAAGGACGGCCCAGTATCTGAAGCACACTGAGATGCTGGTCGACATGCACTCCTCGCCCACACACACTCACACACCTACACACACAAGTACGCAAGACCCTTAGATGCACACGTGTTTCTATTCACTGTTCACACACACGAAGACAGATCAAAGACAACAAAGCTCAGGGTTGTGACATACATACATGTCACATACGTGCAGACACACACACACACACTTTTTCGATAATGATACTCATCAGCACACTTACACAGATGCACAGTTATGATGCAGTATGTTGCGTACACACACACACACACACACACACACACACACACACAGTGAGTGAGAACCCACACTCATTTGGACCACAACTTTCAGAGCTCATTCAGGTGCAAAACTAACCCAGCACACACACATACTGTAGACACACACTGCTAAGGTACACACTACACAGCAGACTGTTCCTTTAGCTGCCTTTGTTTAGTGAAAAATCAGATTCACAACATTACAATATATGGAAACTGGAAGTAACCGTAAACATAACTGATTAATGGATAAATATCTTGTTCAATTATTACCTTCATTTTACAATGTTTTCTTGCTAAATACAGTAATGAATATGTATATCAGTAATTTTGCAATTTGCACAAACAATGTTTTTGTTAATAAATATGATTTTAATTTAAGTCAATAAGATATCTGTTTCCTTGGTTCAAAGTTTAGAAGAGTTGGTGAAACTCAGCTAACGGCAGCTGTTGGATTACATAATCAGATGGTCAAAATAACAAGGTCACAAGGCCAGGATATTTTGGTTGGTCTAACCTCATTAATCAAAACTCTGAATCACTAAGTCAACATCTACAATAAATGCACAGGATTTGACTGGATGACAAATAGTAACATGCCGTATTGCACAGGAGTTGCAGGTAAGGGGCTAAAACGTCCAATTTCAGGTGTTTGACAGCCCTCAGCTTCAAAAACAACTGATGTGAAACTACACCTATTCAGCCTGCTGTGATGATGTTTACTCATGTAGTCTAGTATTTTTAAATGAGTGGTCTGTCCAATAATGCTAGTAAGTACACAATATCTGCTCAAAAGAATTAAATAATTCTTCCATGTTTGAAGGTTTGCAGTAGCAAGGCAGTCCCTCTGAGAGGTGCTGTTAGCTATTAGATCAAATCAATTGCACATCCCCTAGTGCAAAAACTCTTCATTCCCGGTGTTCATCACCTATAAATCAGCTAAATCTCATATTGGTTTTTCTCAGCTGAGCAATTAGGAGCAGCAAAGCAGCAGTTTAGCATAGTACTTACTAAACTGCTAGAATTTGCACAGTGGATGTTCTAATTCAGTTTTTCTTCTCATGTTAAATGTACTGTGTGTACTGTAGCAAGTGCGGAAAGAAAGCTACTTCACTTCCCATAATGCCCTGTAACAAGGTATGTTTCCTCCATCCATGCCTAATGCTGTACCTGGTTAATAGTTACAGGATGCATTAGAACTGTAATAGATTGCATTTTTTGACTGATAACACTGAATATAATTACATGAAAGCATTATTCCTGATAATACATTAAATTGTGCCAATGAACATGTATTTCATGCATCTAATTAACAATTCACCTACTAGGAGAACAGAATTGTTTCTTTAGCAGGAGTTTTAGTCAAATGACTCAGTCCATCCTCCTTTTTAAGGTTAAGTTTTGGTATTTTCGACAAAAGACGAGGGGTGGATTGAGAGAAAAAAAAAGAGGAGGAAGTGGGATGCAAAAGAGGGGGAAAGGAGCCATACAGCAGAATCCCTTCTCTGGAGAGGAGAGAGGGATGGAGGGAGGACTGGAAGGACAAACAGATGGAGAGGCGACAAAAAAAGGGAGGCCGGCGAGAGGAGAAGGCTACCCTTTCTCCCACCAGATGAGAAAAACGAGGGGTTGTGGGGAGCGAGAGATAACAGAGAGAGGACGGAGGAGAGGAAAAAAAGGAGGGATGTGATTAGAGGATAAGCAGAGATCATCCCTCCATTGTTAAAGGGATGGAAAAACTGACCCTCCCTCTTCCTCTATTTTCATCCCCCCGTATCTCTCTCTCTTTTTTTGCATCCTTTGTTTTGAGCATTGTGGGGAGCTTGAAGAGGATGGAGGGATGGCAGAGAAAGCAAGAGATAACATTGCTCCATCCTGTTATATATCCCTCTTTTCCTCTCATCTCTCCACCTCTCTACCTTTCTGCCCATCTCTCCCTCTTTCTAGTGCTGCACCTGTGAAATGCAGAGGATGTGAGATAGAGAGGAAGATGGAGAGACAAAGAGATGGATGGAGGGAGGGATGAAATCAGAGGGGGGTGGGGGGGGATAGAGCCTCGCAACATTAGCATGCTGAGAGTGTCAGCACTCTCCTCTTTTTCTCTCCCTCCATCCCCATCCCTCGTTCCATCCCTCCCTCTGTCTCTTTCTCCTCACTGGTCACTGCAATTATACCATCAAAACACTCCAGCCTGAGAGCATAATAGCTTCCCCCGTGTGTGTGTGTGTGTGTGTGTGTGTGTGTGTGTGTGTGTGTAAGAGAGAGAATGTGTGTGTGTTATCATGAGAGATCAAAAGAAAGAAGTGTGTGTGTGTGTGTGTGTGTGTTTGTGCATAATTTAGTACCATACATGGTGCATTACATGTGCATGTATGACATGAAGGGCAGCTGTTGGTGTGTGAGTGTGTATGCCAAAAACTGGATTTGCAGCTGATGTGTGGGTGCACACGAGGGAGTGTGTGTGTGTAAGTATCTTTTGAGTCCCACCCGCTAGAAAAACTGCTTCTCCAACCTCTGACCAAACACACTCTTAAGCGCAACGCTGAGAGACCCACTTTACATGTGTGTGTCTAGTGAGTTTCTATTTTCACACATACAGACACGCTCACACACACTCATGTTAATGGGTGCACGCAGGCATACAGTCATGGCTTTGAGACACAAACCGTTATGACCTACATGCCCAGTGGGTCATCATTAAGCCAAACAGCACACTCTGACACCTTCGGCTGTCCATACACACACACACACACACACACACACACACACACACACACACACTCTCACTCTGTTTTTGTTTTTGTTCCCTCAACTTCCTCTATCCCTCTCCCCTTCCGCCCTCTGTCTCTTCCTTTTTCTCTCATTCTCTAACACACACACACAATCCCCACTCTATGAGCTTGTTATCCCTCTCTGTCCATTCGTTTCTCTCTGTCACCTTGCCCTGAGCTATTTGAGTACACTTCTGTCTCTCTCTCGCACTACCGTCTCTCTCAAACACACATAAACACACTCATTCTCATGCTGTCTGTTTGTCTGCCTGTCTGTCTCTCTGTCTCACCCTCACGCTTCGTTCCAACCTGTCTCTCTCTCTCTCTCTCTCTCTTTGTTACTGTCAGTCTTGACATATGTTATCTGTCTCTCAGTGTCTGTTTTGCTTTAACTCAGGGCCTTATTGTTAGGTGAGTATCACAGAAAGTAAATCATCACCTACTGTTTAAAAATTAAAGGACAAATACACCAATTTTAAAAGTACTGTTGGAAATATAGTGTACTTGTCACAAGGAGTACTACACACATTTTATACAGAAAGAAATGTAGAATCCAGTATTTTTGGGCATTGACTAGGGACTTAAAGTCAAGGGATCTCTGCCTCTGCTGCTTCAATTCCTTTTAAAAATGTGTCTCTTTTGGGTCTGTTTTGCTTGCTTTTGCAAAGTGGAAGAGCAAACAATTCTTTCATTTGTGTTTCATTTGGCCTGAAACAATCACGCCCTACACAAAATCTTTGAAAATGACAGTAATTACACAGAAACTTAATCCAAGAACTTCATCAAGTAATAATGGAATTCAGGAGGGATCTCTAAAGATGGTGGAGGAAAACTCAAATCCAAAAGTTGGTCCAAAGTGGAACATAAAGACAGTATGGGGACAACAAAACAAGCTATAACACAAAATCATTTACATATTATCACCTTGTAATGTTTTTATGGCTAATGTGTTAGCAAGCTTATTTACACATCCAGCAGACAAAGCAGCACATTAGCATTCATCTGGACTGGCCAAATGACAAATGTAGGTCCAATATTAACTCTCCTGTGGGAAATATCTGTGTCTTTAGCTGATAAATTCAACAATGTGTTCACCAGCTAGTCGCTAACTTTGTCTGCCAGCTGTTTGGTGCTGGGCGAGTAGTACAGTGGGTTATATTCGATATTTTTTATGCTGAAGGCCACCTGCTGCGTTTGGGAATGAGAGTGGAGTTTGCAGGGTGAAAAACACAAAATGGTGAGCTAAAAGAGGCTCAAAGGCTTTAGAGCTGAGGGGAACTGCCGAGCTGGAGATAGTTCTCTGTGGGTTCGTCATTATGAGTGACCCCATTCACATTACATTTGACCCATTGTTAACATAAAAATATTGATTGATGCAGCTTTAATTAGGTGTTAATACCTCGCACACTCCCTCACTTTATAGTTCTGACTTTTTTGTTGTTTCCTCTCTATTATGGCTGTCTCTCTCCCTCCCCCCCTCCCCCCTCTGCTTTTGCTATCCTCTCTTCCCCATCTCCTCCCCCCATCCCCTCGTTCTCTCGCCATCACTCTCTCCCTGTAAGTAAATCAATGAACATACACTTTATGCCATCTATTGATCCTTTCATATCTATCTGTCCTCACACCCTCCTGCTTTTGCCCTCTCTGTTTCTCTCAGTTTTTCACTCTTCTTTTCCCCCCACCATCCCTTTTTCTCTCACCCCTTTCTGTCTCCGCTTTGAATTTATAATCTCTTTCTCTCCCTCTCTCTGTCTCTCAGTCAGTCCTTTTCTCTTTATATCTCTCGCTCTGGGACATCCTATTTATATGGCTGGCACCTTCATGCTTGCACTGAAGTGTGTGTGTGTGTGAGTGAGAGAGAGTGTTTGATGTTGGTCTAAGTGGTTAACATAATATGAGTCCTCAGAGAGATGACGTTCCCGCACTCACACACACACACACACACACACACACACACACACACACACACACACACACACACACACACACACACACACACACACACTCACGCACAATTTTAGGCTTTTTGGTAGGCTTCTCTGTGAACAATTTGTGCTTTTTAGTATTCTCTAGCTTGTGCAGCAGATCCATGTATTATCTATCAATTGCATTCTCCCACTCTGCCACTCTGTCCAAATACATACACACACTCACACACACACACACACACACACACACACACACACACACCTTTGTGCCTCGACCGCCTTCCTAGAATGACAAAAACCCAGTATTATCTTTTGTTATTTATTATTGCAGATGGAGCCATCATTTCATGACCTCGCTGTCTCTCGCCCTCCTCCCTCTGCATATGTTTTTATTTATTCAGGCCTCTCTCACTTTCTCTCTTTCCTGCCCTCTCCTCCTCGCTGCATGTTTATGTTTATTCAGACACATCTCCCTCTTTTTCTCTTCACCCCCCCCCTCTCTCCCCCGTACCCGTGTGTCCAGCTTTTGTTACCAGCCTCGTTTCCATAACAACTGCGACCTTTCAGTCATGCCTAACCGTTTTTAATCAGAAGCAGAGAAAGATGGAGATGAGAGAGAAAGGGAGAGAGGGAGTGAATTGGGAAGGAGAAGGTTATTCAGGTGATGCATTGGATGGATGAAAAAACAATTTACCCTCAAAAAGAGATAACAAGGGGATCAGAATACACTGAGGGCAAGAAACTGGCCCTGGTCTCACGGTGAGACCCTGTGAACAGTTTGGTTTAGATGGGGAACATTCCCAGCAACAGGTAACAAAGTGCTGCTCAAGGTCAAACATCTACCAAACATTTCTGTGTGATTAAAGCAGCAAGGCTGAGGTATATCATTGGATTGAAATGAAATGGTGTACATGAAAGGCTGTGATGAACTGTATTTTTCCTCTACTGCTTCACAGTGTACTTACCTTCATATTGCAGTCATCAAAGGGGCTATTCCAACATTCAGGTTGTATTTCAATAACAAACCTTTATACACATGCTACTACTATACTACTGCACAGACTATATTTAAAGGTCCAATGTGTAACATTTAGGAGGATCTATTGGCAGAAATGCAATATAATCTTCATAGGTATGTTTACATTAGTGTGTAATTACCTGAAAACAAGAATTGTTTTTGTTACCTTAGTATGAGCCGTTTTTATCTACAGAGTGTTAATTATGTGTCATTTTAGTTGGGTTGTGGTCTTCAAAAGCTATGTTTGAATGCGGTGGCAGATCATATAGGCTACAATATAATCTTTTACACCTTCGGTTGGATTAGGTTTACTCTAATTCTCAGTTTCAAAGAAGATTCCTGTGGTGAGATAAAACTGTTAGCGAATGACCACCTGACTTCCAACAGTGAATATAACCTTTACGTCAGGTAGATATGCTGCTAAAAGCCCGTGACTCCACTCTTGTAATGTGGAATCAGATTTTTCAATCTTTGTCTTCTTCCCATGTAGGCTAAGTAACATATGTATGGAGAACTGCAACAAACTGTTGCGATCATGAATTATCAGAAAGGTAGTTGCATTCATTTGAAATCAGGTAGCATTACTTCTGACTATTTAAACCAGCATCTGTGTGTGTGTGTGTGTGTGTGTGTGTGTGTGTGTGTGTGTGTGTGCGCACGTACTGGGGGTCATGCCAACATGGGAGGGACCGGACCGTCAAGTGGCCAGCTCTCGAGCCCGCCCGCCCACCGCGCGCCACTCCACACCGGGAGCAGCGCGTGAGGATGATGCCAGCCAGAGATAGATGGATTGGCGAGGGAGGAAAAAAACCTGCACAGTGACACAACTAGAGTAAAGAGGAGGCGGTTGTTGAGTGAGAGTAAAACTGAGAGAGTTACGGAACAAAGGACAAATAAAGAGGAACAGGAAATAGCCGGAGACCCGCTGCTGGCTGGTTCCCATCTGCCCGCACCGATGTCCGAGGCCCGCCCGGTGCCAGCTGAACACAGTCGACCGAGGCAGAGCACACAGGAACGGCAACTGGAGTGGAAAGCTTCGGGGAGCGGACACCGCTGGAGCTCTTGTCTGTGACTGAGAGTGAGTTCATTTTTAAACTTCTAACACAGCATAATGTTTGAAATGTCCTCCGCGTTTAATGAGCTATGCGCGGGTCAGTGTCTGCTCTGCTGGCCTCTCTCTGTGTGTTTATTTTTTCTTTCATACTGCGACATTAGTCCACCGTTGCCAATTAGTCACAGGACGCACCGCGGGCGCGCGCGCATACAACACACAAACTGACTGACAGCTCGTGCGTCAGAATGGCCAAAGCGGATTCCTCTCGCGTGGCAGAACCGGCAGATGTTTCCACGCGGAGGCTTCAAACATAAGCTTCAAACAAGATATCAATTATTCAAAGTAACGTTATTTCTACCGGCATAGATATGTAAATGAAACGTTGTATAGGCAGCAGATCTGAAAAGTTAAATAAAAAAACTATTTCAAATAAAACTATACATAGATAACCTGTGTAGGTATGATAAAAACAAATAACTGATCCAAGTAATGTTACTTCTAAATTAAAAGGAAGGAAATACTGTATAGTATTTTAGATGAGCACAGAGCTTACTTAAATATAAATGGCAACTGTTTGTATGCAAATAGGCCTGTAAGCCAAATATTTGAGGCATAGAGAGGTACACTGTTGGCCTGTGTGATTTTTGTTTTTAAGGTAATGTAAGCAAATTATATTGACACACTCAGATTAAAATGTCCAAATATATTTTACTGACATACATCATCTAATACCAGTGAGTTGTGTGTGCTTTGTTCAGTGTGTGTTTCCTCTCTTGTCAGTTTTGCCAGTGACAGCTACAGCAGTCCAAGAGTACCATTCTTAAATCTAATCTGGTGGTTAATAGCTTTCATTTTCATTGCTCAGTGTTCATATTTTGTGCAGCTTTCCGCTGGCTTTGAAAAGCTAATCTGTCCCTGATATAAGCGCATTGGCTGGTTTGCCATCTGGGCTGTATTATAGTAGAGAAGCCAGGGCATTTGAATAATTGATATTTAGCTATTTATAGGTGGATTATTCTCTTCATGTTGCACCAGGGGACCTATGCACTGGTCTATCTTTCTATCTATCTATCTATCTATCTATCTATCTATCTATGTAATCATTTTTAATTCTGACCATTGACTATCAAGTAACTCAATCGGCCTAAAATTTCAAATGCTGTGTATTTTCAAATTTTCTGTATTTTTGTGCACCTACTGCACCTCTTTTAGTCTGTCCCTACATCTGTCCATTTATCATCCATCCATCTTTCTGTTCGGTGAGTGGTAGTGTATCCATCTGAAGTGGATTAGAGGTGTTATCAAAGCTAAGTAGGACGACTGTTCACACACATTCTCGCATATGCACACACACATAGACACATACATACATGCTACTCACTCCATTTCACTCCCCAAGGACCATTGACCATTGTTAGCCCTCTCTCAAGCCTCTTTCGCTTTTGTGTGAATGTGTGTGTGTGTGTGTGTGTGTGTGTGTGTGTGTTTGACGGTAAACACTCTGATCAAACAGTGCTTAACAAGCTGCCTGAACTGATAACAGAGAGAGGAGAGGAAAAGAGGATGAGAGCGGAATAGAGAGGAAGGAAAAAGGGGGAAAGGGGTGTCGGGAGGGAGAGGAGGTCATAAACTGGAAAGAAAAAAGCACGGGGATGTGTGTTTTTGATCTTGATTATATAGTGAGATGTACTGTTATTCATAAGCCAAGTGCTCGCTCTTCTCAGTTTTACAAGCGTTTCCAGGTATTATAGGGAGGTCATGCAGAATTAATAAAAAAATTACCCATATTTTCCAGCTATGAAACATATTTTCCAGCAAAAAAAATGCCCAGTTATATTTTACCACCGTTTTGTTATTTTGCTCCATGCCAAGATTCACGTCCTCTCCCTCCATTTTGTCAGTTGTATTTTTATGATGTTTGTACTTTCTTCGGCAGCACACAGTTGAGAGAAACAGGAAAGATAGTGTGGATGATACGGGACAGAGATCATGAGCCAGATGTTAACCTATTGCAACACCAGCACGTAGCCTGGCCCACAGTCTTTTGACCTGGGTTTTTTGGTCAGTTCTGCAGTCTGTTGTTTCCTCCTTCGAAATGGAATTCATCTTCTCTGGTGCTTAACTAACCTTACAATATGTGCTTATATTTTGCAGCTCTATGCAAGGACATTGCAGCTCGTTGTTATTACTATTCGAGTGGAAGTGGCTGTGTCCTGTGATAGATCGGTGACCTGTTTTGCTGTCCAGGTGAGCAAAAGTTGTGTGAGTCACATCATGAAGTGCATTTATTCATCTGACAACATGGTGCAGTCACGAGTGCCATACAGAAACATTATTTGGTGATGGATAACATGGCCCTTAAGTGCACTTCAATGATCAGTTCACTTTGATTCAAAAGAGACATATTTTCTCATTCTTTTGTTGTATCCAGAAGATACTTTTTGTTTAAATTTTTTCCCTTCGAATTTGAGATATCCAACTCGGAGATTTCTTTCTTTCACTCCAATAGAGTGGAGGTGAATGGAATTTCATTTTTAGTGCTCCCAGCATTGAAATTGAAATGTCATTGAAAAAAAATCGAAAGCAGCAACTCTCTTCTTCCTTTTCTGCTGCCAGAACACATTATCGACAGCTTTCATGAGCACTATTTCTTCTGTGTAGAGTGCTTCCAGAAAAAAATGTTCACAGTTCTATGGATTATCCAGAGCAACAGGGTATGTTTGCTACACATCACCACTGCCATTTTTTAAAATGTAAATTTAAGCTTGGAGTACCACAAAAAAAATTAATTCATGTCCACTGTATTGAACCGGCTAAATCAATGTATTGGTAAATATTTGATTTTGTGGACAAAACCCTACTTCCTCTCTGTTCCACCCTCTTCTCATACAAAACAACAAAAACATCAACAACAACAGTAATCCTGTTTCTCTCCCCAGTGATGGATTCCCCCACAGATCTTTTCGATGAATCTGCTCCCCAGATACACGCATTTGCTCCCACTCACGGCTCTACAGATCTCCCTGGAGCTCATCCTCAGCCAAGTGCAGGTCGCCCTCCTCCTGCCTTTAGACCCCCTGGCTTCCCCCTCATTCACCACCTCCTCCAGCCGGGTGGAGCCCCCAGGAGGATTGGTGGCCAACTCAACACAAACCTGAGCTCACACAGACATGGACTGGAAGACAGAAATTTGGAGGAAGACAGAGCAGAGAGGGATGGGCAGGTGGAGCAAGGGATGGAAGGGGAGGAAGGAGCGACGGAGGGGGAGGACAGCTTGTTGGGGGTTAAGAAGAGACACAGTGACGCCACTCTTGCAGCCGAGTGGGGTCAAGACGTCCTGAAGGTGAAGAGGATGAAGCTGGAGAGCCGACCAAGAGATGGAGAGGCAGAGGAGGGAGGCAGGAGGCGCGAAGGAGGGAGGGAGGGTAAGAGAAGAGAGAGGGAGGAGCTGAAAGAACAGCTGGAGGAGGCAAGAGAGAGACTGCAGGCCCTGCAGGAGAAAGTATGGAGGGCCTTTGGGGAAAAGCACATGGCAGAAGAGGAGAAGAAAAGGAGGCATAGCAATAGAGGAGGAGGAGATGGAAGAGAAAAAGATATGGGGATGATGGAAGAGGTGGACATTACAGAAGGGATGTACGATGAAGAGGACATTGAGGGTGGAGAGATGGAAAAGGAGACTTTCTCCCTTCTTTCTGTTTCCCCTTTTGACAACTTTCACAAACGGAGAGAAGAGAGGCAAAAAGACAGAGAAGGGAGGATGGAGAGAGGAAGAGAAGGAGGCTTGCACCTGGAGGGCGTGATGGAGGGAGCGGGGTTGTGGTTGGATTGTGGAGGACTAGTAAGGGGAGATTGGCACGGAGGAATAGAAGACGAGGGCGAGGAAGGAGGGCAGAAGTTTGCCCAGGCGCTGAAGCTGGAGTTGGGCAGCGCAGTGGCACGAGTCATTGATCGAGTTCTCCGCCTTTACACCGAGATGACAGATTTCGCTCCTTCCTCTCCTCCTGCTGCCATCTCTTTCCTCCCGTCTGACGCAGGAAACGACGGTGGGAGGGAGAGGGGAGTGTGGATGGGACTGTTGAGAAGAGGGGAGGAAAAAACGAGAGGTAAGGAGGAAAAGACGGGAGCGCAGGATGGAGAAAGAGAGAAGCAGCTCCAAAAAATGAGCAACGGGAGTGCCGTGCCTCCTGGTCAGCCTCATCGCACTGAAGCATCAGATATGGCCATGCCATTGGCTGTTCAAAGGTCATCTGACATACGAAAAGCCCACCCGCTCCTTGGCCCACCTCTCTCTGCTCACCTTAATCCCTCTCACCCCAACCTCTCCCTTCATCACCCTTCTCTACCTCGCCCTCCTCCTCTTTCTCATCCTCCCCTCTTGCCTCCAGCCTCCCAACCCAAGGACCCCTCCTCATCCTTCCACCCATCCTCATCCTCCTCCTCTTCTTCCTCCTCTTCCTTCCCAGCGCCTCCCCCTCCTCCTCCTCCCCCTCCCCCTCTCCCTCTCCCACTTCTCCACTACTCCATGCAGCAGCTCTTCTCTCGCTCTCTTCACCACCCTCAGCTCCCCCACCTCCCCCCGTCCCGCAAGGACTATTTGAACTCCGACCCTTTCTTGGAGTTCTCGTCTCACCCCTCATCTCACCCCTCTTTCCCACCGCTCCCCTTGCTCGGCCACCTGGACCCCTCCCTTGCGCGCCACGCTCACGGAGGCAGAGAGAGGGAGAGAGGGATGAGGGGAGACGGAGGGATGAGAGGAGGTGGAGGGATGGACGGCGGGGAGCTCTACCTGACAGCTGGGGGAATATCCTTTTGTCAGCAAGGTGGGAGTAATGAGGGAGGTGTTTATGTGTGTGTGTGTGTGTGTGTGTGTGTGTGTGTGTGTGTGTGTGTGTGTGTGTGTGTAAAAGGTCCTATGTATCTCCTTAACTGGCCTCATGTATACACCCAGGAGGGCTTGTCTCCCTGCCATCTGAAGAAAGCCAAGCTCATGTTCTTCTACGCACGCTATCCCAGCTCCAATACACTGAAGACTTACTTCCCTGATGTCAAGGTGTGTGTACCCCATCACAGTGCTGGATCAAGATTTTAATTTAAAGTCATGTTCTACCTTTTACTCTTACTGGTTGGTAATAGATAGCCAGTGCTTGGTTCACTATGCTAGGGTTAAGAGGGGAGGTATACGGCTATAGCCATTTATAATAGAGCTTGGCAGATATTTTGTTTGTTTGTTTGTTATAAAATAAATACATATCTATAGCCTATATTCATGTTTTTATATGAGTGACATTAACTTTGAAATTAGATTTTTTTTTTTATTGAAAAGGGTAATTTAAATTTGGTCTTTAAAGTGTCACGACAAAAATAAACTTTACAGTTTAACAATATACTTTACAGCAGAGTGGTTTAATTTACTTCAATTAATTGTTTTTTATATGATTTATTGAGTATATGCTTTTTAAATCTTCTTCTACAAAGTAACAATTAACTATAGCTAATGAAAAAAAGAAAATGTACATTATTTCCTTCTGAAATGTAGTGTGAGTGTAAGTGAAAGTATACAGGAGCATACACTTTTAATGTTCAAGTAGTTCAGAGTTCATAGTGCACGCTATGCACATAGTTTGGAAGTTGCTTTCGAGGCAGGATCTGTTTATGGTCCTTCAAAAATGGAAGTAACTTGGCCAGACCTTGGCGTTATTAGCACCACGCTCTAACCAACTGAGCTAACCGGCCATATTACTTAAAACTGTATGTATATTATTTCCTTGGCTGGACAATCCTCCCATTGCCAAAACTGTCACTCCAAAGACATAACTCGAGGTTGAAGCAGTGCATTAACCACAGTAAGGATTGTTTCCACAGTACGGATATTTTACAGTTGAAAAGAAAGCTTTACTATTGTGTGATGTTAACTAGAAATACATTCTAAAATATTTACAAACACAACCCTAAAATTACCCTCAAATACAATGTGTAATACAAGTGTGACCTTTTGGAAAAAGTATTTACTATAATTTCTTTTTGAATATCTGTTGATACCAGTGTATGTGATCAGCCAATATTAGCTGACATTATCTCTAACTGTGAAACAAAGTTGCGTTGTGGTGAAAACACAAACCTAAAGGTGTTTTTATTTAATCAATTACAATCCAAGGTTTAGGTTACAACCAAAGAAAGATCTATTACTCTCTGATATTATCATAATAATATCTGATAATATTAATTAATAAAATAAAAACATCTTAAGGTTTGTGTTTTCACCACAGTGCCACTTTGTTTCACAATTAGAGATAATGTCAGCTAATACCATTTTCCGTTATGAAGCACCAAAACAATTTCTTTCTTTATTTGAGCTGCTGGTTCAAGCTCTCTTTAAAGTTATTTTCTAATATAATTAGTAATTCTAAATGTCCTGCTGTTTTCCTGTCCACTGTCTAGTTTAACCGCTGTGTGACCTCCCAGATGATTAAATGGTTCAGTAACTTCAGAGAGTTCTTCTACATCCAGATGGAGCGCTTTGCACGACAGGCTGTCCGCGAGGCCCTCACCCGGTTGGTTTGAGCTGGCACTGGTTCATGTTAAACTCATTTGCTGCTAAACTTACATTGTTGGACTGGGTTTTATAGGAGCTAGCATGTTGGCACTGAATTTACAGAAATTACCACCTCTAGTTCTACTATTTGAACCAATTTAAGTACCACACAGCTACCGGGTTTGTTTTACAACATAAGTGTGTATTTAATGTCTTAAACTGGCAAAATTTGAAATGTGGGGACTGTTAGGAATAAAACAATAGCAATTTAATTTTTTCTGGACATAATACAACACTAGAAAATATTATAGAGGTGGATTGTTCAAAATGAATACTAGTTGAATATAAATAATATAAATAAATGTCAGCATTGTCAGTATGCATTTTACAGTGATTCCATTTATTGTTTTGTCTGTCTGTGTAACCCAGGGAAGGTGCACCACGTCTGGGCAGAGAGAGTCAGCTGCGAGTGGGCCGAGACACAGAGCTTTACCGCATACTGAACATGCACTACAATAAAAGTAACGTCTATCAGGTAAGGACAGCGTCAATATGCACAGTGTCTGCTTTCCACTCCTATAGCACTCAGCTTCATAATTGTGTAACTGTATGTAGTCCTTGGGTGGATGCTTTATTATCTTGTTATGCTGTCAGTGCAGTGAAAGCATGATGCATTTGTTTTTTTATAGACTGGGAACCTTTAGTCTAATGAGCTTCAAGTTTTCTTTAATGGCAGCATGTTTGTGGCAGCAACACAAGAGCGCCCCAAGGCTACATGTGTGTTATGCATCATAACATATTATATAGATATATGTAACAGGATGTACTGTCTCAAACTATAGCTGCTGTCTATAATGATATGGCCTTGATGGAGGAAGACTTGTGCTCTGTCACACTGTGAGCTGTTGTACTGTCAGCATTGGAAATGGCTGATTAGCTGATGAGGATAATACTAACAAGACGAAAAGAAGTGGTCATCAGCTTAATTGTTTATTTATTATTAATTTTGTTTCTATTTTTTTTTATATGTGTGGTTCCTGGGGTATTTTTTAAACAGTAAACGCACAAACACAAGTACTGTTTGCCATGTGATTAGCATTTCTGGAATCATTATTGAGATATGTCTAACCGGGCATTAATGTCCTCTTCTAAATAAACTTGGCCAGTACGGGGATCGAACCCGCGACCTTGGCGTTATTAGCACCACGCTCTAACCAACTGAGCTAACCGGCCATATGTTAAGTTGTTCAAACTGGCCATTTCGGATGTTTTGGAGATCATTATCCGTGCATTGATGATCATTATGTGTGGTTCATATTCATAATGATATATGATCTGCAAAGTAACCAGCAAGTAGGCCTATAGCTAATGAAGTAGAGTACAATATTTACAATAATTCCTTCTGAAATGTAGTGGAGCGAAAAATAAGCAGCAGAACGTTTTTACTATAATAGTGCTAGAGTACTGATGTGTGTAGCTTGGTCCTTTACACCAGTGGTGAAACTTGTTGCACATGAACTTATGTTTCAGGAGTTGTATCTTTGGTTGAGATACAGTAGTATTAGTGTCTATCATTTCATCACTACTGAGATGGGCAATTATTACTCATTTAAAAGCACTGTGGCCCGTACGGGGATCGAACCCGCGACCTTGGCGTTATTAGCACCACGCTCTAACCAACTGAGCTAACCGGCCATATTTGCTCTGTCATTATCATGTCATTTTCAGTAATCAACTTATTTTAGATAGGTAACTGAATAAACTCAGTGTATGAATTGGTCACATAAAACTTTGAGTTAACAGTATAAGGACAAAAGCAGGATTCAGTCAGAGGCTAAAATGGAAGATTGTGCCTATACTTTTTCAACTCTTCAACAAGAATTAGTTTTCTGAATTTTATTTCATTCTTGGAGATATGCTATTATGAGCCCAATTATTGAGCACTATTTTCTTTACTACACATGAAAGAATTTCTAAATGAGTGAGTCTGTAATGAAGGAAAAACTTAAATAGTGTTATATCTCATTGCCCAACTAAAGGGGGGAAAAAGGCTGGTTAGTCTACAAAGGTTGCAGCTGTTAGAGGCCCTGCTCACCTAAAGGTGTTTAGAGTTTACTGGCTGTTAGACCTCTGCTCGGGTGGCAGCTATGCTGGAAACAGGCCTTTGTCACTGCACATACTCTGACATGTCATATATCAGGATGAGCACAGGTGTCATTTATAACCTTAACTATGCTCAGGTTCCATTGTCGGCTCCAGTGGCCAGCTATTACTCATGCTTTCTCACAGGCGACACTTACTGGAACATTAACGTTAGTCTTCACACATGCGATTTTCTTGCTACGGTGTGAGACGTCTAATTGAAAATAATGCTGTTATACAAGGTCAACAAGATCTGTCACTGGTAAGAAATGATAGGGGTGCATGTTGTCCACTCTAATAGGACCAACAGAACTAGGGGAAAGATCCAGTCAGGCACAATAAGGGAAAACACCTGATTGGCCTTTAATAACAATACGAATAGAACTCTGAACAGCCATTATAATTTTAATTGGTGGTTGGACACTTGACTGGATCACATACAGTGTTTTTGTTTGCAGGTATAGTTTAAGTGGATCATACTATAGCTGACCATTCAATCCATTCATTCAACTCTTTTGCTTTTGCTTTTTTGATTTTAGCTCATTTCCCAGTGTGTCCAGAATTTTACAGCCCTAATTCTGTAGACCCTGAAGTATTTGATCCGTTGACATTGAGACTCCTGTCTGCAGGTCCCAGAGAGGTTCATCGAGGTGTCCGAGGTGGCTCTGAGGGAGTTTTATTCAGCCATTTGGACTGGGAGAGACAGCGACCCCTGCTGGAAGAAAGGGATCTATAAGATTATCTGTAAGCTTGACAGTCCTGTTCCAGATGCTTTCAGACTGCCTGGCTGTCCTGTCGGCTGACGATCGAAACATCATCTACATCTGGTACATGTATACTGCATGCATAAAAACACAAACTTACTGGAAGTAGTGAATTTTTTTAAAGCGTTCACAAACTGTTCGTCACAACAATTCCACACTGTGAGGACTGGTATGAGGAAATCCATTTAATTCTACAGTTCGGTTCATTCATTATTCATTCATTTTAGGGGAAAAAATCATGTAAGATAATAAAAGGATTTTGCTAGACACCATGTGCAGGGAAACACACATACATGCTTACATGGACAGAGACACATAGGGGTCAGTAGTAGACTGACACACTCAGTGCTGCGATAAGAGTCTTGTGACTGCACTTATCGAGGAACGTGACCATACCATTGAATTACAATGGACAGAGCAGGAATTCCCTTTCCAAACATTCCTCACCAGTCAGTTGACTTGTGAAATCACAGTGCTGCTGCACAGCTTTGATAAAAACATGTCATGAAAATAAGAGTTGCTGCAGCCAGAAGCTGGAATTGACTGAAATATGCAGATTTGCTGTGTGTGGTTTGTTACCATGAGATGGCTACTGTTTCAGATTGTGTTATTAAAATTTGTGAGCATCGTGCCCTGGCTACACATTCACATGGAAATATTATATGCATTCCCTGGCAGCCCCTTGTAAATTATTGCAGTCCACAAAAAGAAAGCATTCTTTGCATCCCCTCAGTAATCAAATGTACTGCTGGCAGCTGTTTACCAAGCATGGGCACTGCACAAATATAAGTTTCAAATACTTTCAGACAAAGAGTCCACAACTTGAGTACATACCAAATTTCTACAGATTAGGTGCCCTCATTGTCTCTTTCACTGTGAGCAGAGAGCAGTGCTCCCACTCGGAGAATTCCAGCTTCCTGGTAAACAAAAAGCAGTCATTTTGCTGTGTAATCATTAGCAGTCTTGGACAAACAGCACCCTGCTATCACACCCAAATATTTCACTGCTGCTCTCCCTCAGGGGTGTTCACAGTTTTACATTAGAGACTTGTCACAACATCAAATATGATTGTTGTTTGCTAGAAATGAACTGTTACTGTTGCCTTGTGCGTGGGCTTCTCTGAAGTACCTTTTTTGTTCAGCGCGCCCCACAGCTTTTTACATTTTAGATACTGATTTTTTCCCCCTCCATGGCTGTGAGGATGCTTTCCTCGATACAAGGTTGTCATTTTCCTATCCACTGGAGAAATCAGGCTTGAAATTCCTCTTGAATTCTTGAAATAAAACACAAGGACCAAACGTAATTCATGTTACATAATATATTACAACTGTTTGGTTAACTGCAAGATTTTAAAAAAATGACGTTGCCCTTGTTTTAGAGAACTTGTTTTCAGTCAGTGGATTTATTTTCTTTTTATAGCCATCTTTTTGCTTATGTATATGATGGCACAATGTAATCAAACTGTAATTAAAATTCTGCCAAGAGGGACAATATATTGAATTTAAAATAGTAAAAAATTAATGTTTTGTTGTTTCCTTGATGTACTCCTATTGTTGAAATATTCACTTCTGTTTTTGTATTCCTTTAATGTGATGCTAAACTAAATAGGCCGGTTGCACAGTTAGTATATCTTGACATTTGTTCCTCAAAGTTATTGCGGAAACTTTGACTCTATCTACTGTATATCATGACTCTTTTATCTAGAAGGAGCTTGGGTTTCTGTTCATGAAAATGTTGGTTGGCTGCTTCAGATAAAGCCCTCCTCTGGCTCTGCGAGACCGAGCCCATATGTAAACTTTTTGTGACGTGTTTTCAAGTGCATGTTTCCTATCTTTGCATTACATTTTGTATTGTAATCTCTTATGTTTCTCTCATTGCTTTTATTTGTCTCTCTTTTATATTGTAAATAATGTGCCTCATTCGAACTTTGGTGAATTTTGATGTTTAAACTTATCAGTGAATTAAAGTGATACCAGGCTCTTGTTGTGATGTCTGGATTCACACCACACACACACACACACACACACACACACACACACACACACACACATACATAAAACACACAAGCTCTCTGGTGTTCAGGTCCTGGTAGCCAACGCTAATGCCCTCATATTTAAGCCTTTAATCTAACAACCCTGCCACACTAAAACACACACACACACATTTTCACTGATGCTAATACTTGGGTGATGGCTTTGTAAGAGGCTCAACCCCGGACTAAGTCTGGCCACCTGAGACAGCAACACACACACACACACACACATACAAACACACACAGTTTGTCTTTTATTCTAGCAAATCTCAACCACAGGAGTCGTGCAGAAAAGGCTCCTGTTTTTTGGCTAACATGCTGGAGAATGGGTCTTGTCACAGTGGACCTGGTTAGCTGCATGCTCCACATATTAGTTTTAATTTAGTATTCTGAAGAAAGAGGTTGCACTTGGTCACAATGGACAAAGAGCACACATAAATGCAAACATTCCCAACTAACTTATTTCTGGACCACCTTTGTCAACATTTGAGAATGAACCAGCTCAGATTTCAGCCATAAATCAACACATTGTTCTTGCTATTATTAGCTGGTTTCTATTCATGATTTATGATCCAAGATTTGGAGAGGGTTGGTGACATCAGTTGGATTTTTAAGGTTACTGATGCTGGAGATGTTTCATGCTTCAAGACTTCAAAATCAAACAAAGCTGGCCAGAAGCAAAAGCCCACACCCAGAAAGGGTGAGATGTCGAGCTCTAGTAGACTCCCTTTGCCCCTATATTGGGTAAAGACGTTTAAGTCAAGTAATTCTGCTGCTATAGCGTTAAAATAAAACAGCCTCTTGAATATGATTGTGGCATTACTTTGTGTGCTTCCCCCTTAGAGCAATCAGTCACGGCAGTGGAATTGGGAATGCACCACAACAAGAATGCCTTTCACAGTTTTCACAGATTTTCACACTTCTAACGTTAAATTTAGCTTCACGTCTATTAGTTCCTCACTCCATCCATTTAGTCTGCTGTATCCGTGCATCCATTTATTACCTTCTGCTACAAACTACTTACATTCTTATTCCTAAAATTACATTTAAACCTCTCTAAGACATAGGTTCCTTTTAATGAACAAAACATCTAAAGTAATCTACGGTGGCCTGACACAGACTCAACTCCTCACTTAAAGCCTAACCACAGACTGTATACACCCTATTTGTGTAAATCACATGTTAACAAACTCCTGAAGCTAACAGGAGGGAATTGCTTTGATTGGAAACCCATATGACAAGTCCACTTCAAATAAAAATTAAACCACATATAAATATATTTTGTTTGATTTGAGCAATCTGAGGTTATTATACACATTCCCTTTGTAAACTTGAACGATGCAACACTTCCCCAGGTGGTTTGGAAATGTGTCAGGACTATTTCTGCTGCAGAAGTGAATTTAACAGAGTTGAAAATGGTGTTACATATATCGAAATGGCATGGTCTTATGACACAAGTCACAAGGTTTGATTAAGCATTCTGGGTTCTACTTGTATCCATCACACACACACACACACACACACACACACACACACACTGGCCAGCACTAATACCAGGATGACATGCCTTTAAATCCTCCAGTAGCTCAACCTTTGACTAAGTCTAGCCACCTGATAGTCTACTGAACGGGAGGTAACACACAAACTACATGTGTTCTATGTAAGCAATATGAATTTTACCACATCCAGTCATCAGCCAGTATATTATAAGAGCATCAACATGCGTCTAGTAGTAAATATTAAACATTAACATAAATAAAAAGCTGATCCACTCATCCATTCATCATCTTGCTGCTTCCCACAGCTTTATCTTTGTGGGTTATCAGAAACCAGCTTCTGACCCGAAGAAAATCGGTCTGTATGACCACCAATGTTGAAGTTCATCTACCCGTCAGTGTGACAAATAAACGATTTATACGCATTTATGAACGGACGTGCCTATCTGGCCTGGCTCAAGAAAAGCTTTATTGAAACTAAAAGCAGGAGTGAATCTTCCAGGCAGGACTGTCGCTGCTGCACTATGAGTGAGAGCTGAGCGAGGCCGAGCGAAAACAGACATAATAACGCCGGAAACCCAATACTTTGATCTTCAAAATTTAAACGTGGCATTTGTTACATCGCGAAAAGAAAAGGTGAGTTGTGGGATCATTAATGGTTTCATATGGCTTTACTTTAATTAATGTTTTTGTAGCAAGGTTTAAGTCAGTAAGAGTTTTCGTGGAAATCACATTTTTCTGGCTGTCTGTCATCTCAATAATTTTCAATTACACAGTGCTAAACGAAAATCAGATGCATAGATTACTTTCTCTCTTACTATGAGACTTACATTGATTTACCCAGTTGTATTTGACACTAGTCATTCTTCAGTAAATGCTCAAGATTGTTTAAAGTTTTTTTTTTTTAAAACCCTCAATTAAGGTTTGCGACTGAAAGCGTCGTCCACAATTTTATTTTGAAACCCTTAACCGGAAGCTTTGTATCTCATTGTGGCTGCCTTCATGCTGCTGTGTCCCCAGACTGGAGCCGGGCCGCTGGACGATGGCGTTAACGGGGCTGCTGCTGCTGGAGTTGGCTCTGTACGCCAGCTGTTTCGTCTGTGGGATTGTCACCGCCGCCTCCATCACCATAGTCCAGGTGACTTTACTGACAAATTAACAAACTGCGCTTGTTTAACATTGTTTAACGTTTCTTTTATTTCCACCCTCTTCCGGGTAGGTTTTTTTTTAAGTGCGCGCGTCTGTGTCATAAAGTTTGTAATTCCCCAAAGAGACAAAAGTCACCTCAGGGGGTTGTATATAAGGCTCTTATTTGTGTTTAATTCTGTAGTTAATGTCGTTTTTAATTCATTTGTGTCTTTAAATGAGCATTATAGTTGGCAACTCTTTGTCAAAACTCATTTTAACGCCGTTATTATGCGGGCGCGCAGAGGAAGGAATTGGTTTTATATAGCAGTATATTTTTCTACTTGCTACGTATCAGTAATTAAAGGAAAAAAACAGTAACAGAGCGCGAGGAGCTAAAGAAAGACACGCGCTTTCACTTTCCTCTGATTTCCCGCGAGCTGTGTTGTTGCGAGTCACTGACACATTTATCTGTTACTACCTGTGTTATTAGGCTAATATACCACAGTGTATTGTACCCTACGGTAGGAGAACTACGTGTTCGCTATCAAACGCACTTTAGGCCCATATGAGTTAATTACAGGAACACCGTTAGCGTCGACAAGTGCTCGTTTCTTTCCACTTCATTTCATTAGCTGCGCTCATTTTACGCCATTAGCGTAAGACACTGTGAAAACTAACATGTATTGTTTGCCCTAAAACCCTTTAAACAGAACTTTCTCTTCTTTACTGATCAGGAAATGTGTGAGCGTGTGAAAGTGCGCGCGCGAGTGAGTAATAATACAGTCATGTGACCAGATGGTCCTCGTGCCCAATTATTCTCTGCTTCCTTATAAAAGTCAGGTGATTCAGTTAATGTGTGTTTATTTGTGTGCATCTATTAAAATATATCAGTCTTATATCTTCTATGTGGTTGTTGCAGTTTTCGAACAATGTAACAAAACTGAGACAAATGAAACAAAACAACAAAAAATAAACAACTGCAAAAACAAAATAAAAATTCAAAGTGTCTCTTTCCTCTCAGGGTAACTTTGGAGGTCGGTGTATGCTTTATGGACTTGTCAACTTCAACGCCACAGCGAGCCTCATCGGAGTGCAGTCTTCCAGCTCTTCCTCTCTGTGTTATTTTGTGTCGGCCATATCAATCATGGTGGCAGTGGTGTGTTTCTCACTGTCTCTGTACTGGCTGTACACGTTCTGCATCGACGGGGAAGTCAAAAGGTAACAGCAAGATGTGTTGTGTCATCACCAATCACTGCTTTTCAATTCCATGTTAGGTCACACCTTTTTTTGTGAGTTCTTTAGTCTGTTTGTCCATTTGTTCTGTTCGCTCATTTTATTGTTCATTGTTTAAAAATGGGTTGTAAACAGAGCTTGAGACTGGCAGCAGCTCACAGCTCACAGCTTCCAGACCGAAATCAAACTGCACTGTGTTTATGTGCAATTTATGTTATGTTACATTCATGCACAATGCGCAGATAACCCAGGCCTGTTCTTACCTTCTGACTTTTTTAATCAAAGCATTCTTGAATTTTACTCTTTGTCAGCCATGTGAACGCAAATTTTACATTCTGAATTTAATCCTTCAACTAGGGTTGAACAGATTTGTTTGTTTGTAAGTTTGAAGTTCAACTTTTGGATTGAAAATAAGATAAGCTAAACTTTCTTGATCACACACAAGACAGTCTAAGCTGATAAAAAGCTGATACAAGTTTAAATGTTGACACTAGTCAATGTTTCCATTCAAAATAGGGATACATAATCAATAAAATGTGTTAAAGCTGGTACCAAAAAGATAAAGTTTCGCTTAAGAGGGTCTAGCAAGTGTTTTCAAGGATGGCAACCCTTCGTCTTCTGTTTTCCTGACTGACTACCTCTGTTTTTACACAGTATCATCGGCCTGTAGCGCTTTCTTCAATTTTTTAATTCCCCCCTTTTATTCTTTTTCATTGTTATAAAACTCTGGAAAAGAATATGAAATATGATGACCTTTAACCCCGGCATTGTGTATATTGTTTGCTTAAGCAGATACCCCATACAGTATATTCCGATTTCAGCCGTCACATCCATGCGTATGTGAAAGACATTTTTTGTCATTTGCATGTACAAAAACCCTGCAGCTGCACAGAAAAGCTTTGTAGATGGTGAACAGTTGTAAAATCCTGGCAACACTTCAACTGGGCAAACCATCAACAATAAAACTGAAGACACAAGTATCAAGGGACCCTCAACCCAGAGTAGTAAAATTCCTTTGGACAGATTATGAGGATGGTTTCACTACGTTCTACTACAATATTTACAGACTGGAGAGACAAAGTCCCTCCCTTTCCAGTGGACCTCGCTAGGACAAAAAATTGTTATGCTCTTTGAATTGTGCCATGAATTACACATATGATGTTTCTCAATTTAAAAGATAATTTTGCAAGCCAAGAAAGTCACAGTTTGTCGTAATGCTGTTGAATTACAAAGATTACACACCGGAGAGCTTCCATGCTAGCTGACACGGAACCCGCTCACATAGCTGCTACATGGCCATACATTTTTAACCTCTTTTAATACTGAAATGCGTCAAGGTGACGGCCGTATATTGTGTGAGACGAAAGATGTAGTTTACTGACACAAAAAATATATACTTCACTATTTCTATAAACCTTTTGTGGTGATATAAATTGACAAGCATTGTAAGTGTAACAAGTGGCACAGTTCATACAGGATAAAAAAAAAAATTCTCTCGCCGTTAACTATCATACCTTCCGAAATAAGGTCTCATGGGAGGGATATGCCTCTCTATAACATCCTATAAAAACTGGCTTACGTACAGCCTGCAGATCTGGTGAGGAAACAAAACAAACATGGAGTAGATCAAAAGTGGATTTGCCACATTGCAACATAGTGCTATCTTACATACAGTAGTTTGACATCACTTCCTCATTTGTTACAAGGTTGAAATAACACTTTTATTCTATTCTTCTATTTCTCTTTTCCATCACCTCAAAAAAAAGCTCCCAGCTCTTCTCACGCTCTTTCTGTTTGTTCTGTCCTCCACAGGGAGCGCATGTGGATGAACCTGATCGTGGCTGTGTGTGGCGCCTTCCTGTTCTTCCTGCTCATCACAGGGTGCATGTTGAAGATCGGACGTGACTCGCTCTGCAACTCGGTCATACACGCTGTTCCCAACATTACCAGGTGGAACAAGCTCACACACACACACACACACACACACACACACACACTCACACTGCAGGCACGGGCATGCACAGACATCCCCACACAAACCCAAAACCTCTCACAAATAAATCATGAATGAAACTAAAAACAACATTTGGAACCTGGCGAGTTTTACTTCACATTTGGTTGCTTTCTAATTTCGTCAAGCGTTTGTTGGTTCATATGAAAGCAGTTACATGTCATTTATTTTTGTGCTTGTAATCATGTTGCACTGGTCCCATGACTGGACTTATTTTAAGATGTCCCCTTTCTTTCTTCAAAATGACATCAGCACTGAAGAGTTATTCATCTTTAAATGACTCTGGCTTGTTGTCGCCCATCGGCTGCAGCTGCTGCTTTGTTCATACACTCACTAAACACCACAAAATTTAAGTTGAAGACAAATCCATCAACGGATTGCATACTATAGCCATTGAACCAAAATGTTTAACATTTTGAAGGAAGTTTGGCAGCTACAATATCTCTGGTTAGCTACTGTTGACAGTGATTTGAAAAGGTTGAAACTTAATTATGTGTTTTCTATCAACTTGTCTCAAGATGTGAGGAGGCCCAGACCAGAAAATGGGCCAGTCCAATTAAAGGAGGAAAGTTCTACAACAGTCTATTCAAAGCCGAGGTCAGTTTTTTATTTTGTTTAGAATCACATGGGTATAATTGCAAAGAAATTGCATAACGCTTGCATTACAGTTAATTAAAGTGCCAATTAAAAAGGTGATTAACTTAAGCATGACCATCATGCTTAAGTTAATCACCTTTTTAATTTAATAAGTGGAAAGTTTTCCTAACATTCGCAGGAATAAGAGCTCTTAAACGGAAAGTGAACGGAAGGATTTTTTTCCCACAAGATGTGCGAATGAACTCCTTAAAGTGCTCATGTTTAGCAGCTGATTCAGTCAGCATTACTGTTAATTCTTCATCTTGTGCGTCATGTGTTGCCTCCTCCCTGACTCCCCCTCAGACGGCGGTGTGGGTCAACTTCTTCTCCTGGCTCATCATCGGGGGTCTGGTGTTCGTTCAGAGGCGTCAGAGCTCCGGGACGAAGCCCATCGTAGGAGGGTTTGGTGGGCCTGCCGGAGGCCTTTTCGGTGACCCGGGAGTGACGGCTGCAGAGACGGAGCCATTTTTCAACCGTCCTGCAAGGCCACAGTGAGGCTGCCACAGATGATTTACAAAAAACAAACATGACAATGTGGGAGTAGATGTGGAAAAAAGGGTAAATACATTTGGTGTACACGTCCTTGTATCCCAGTGAATACACATTTTTTGAGATACTACATGACAATCACAGTAATTTGTGAGTCAGCTTTGGGGGTTTTGCGAACACCAATACAAAATACACAGTGCCTCTCGACGAGGATGGGATTCGAACCCACGCGTGCAGAGCACAATGGATTAGCAGTCCATCGCCTTAACCACTCGGCCACCTCGTCTGTTTTTAAGAGATCAATAAAACCAACAAGAGCGCAGAGCCTGTTGGGCCTGATCCAAAGTTTGAACCTGTTACCCATTTCCCAAATTTACTCACTTTCCAAAGCCGCTATAAACGACTGATCACTGGATCACACGTATTTGTTCATTCAGGAAGTGATCGTGGTATATTTTGTTTACATAACCAAGGAAATTGAGAATGTTTATTGCAGGCATTCATTTGTTTTTATTTCATCAGTGTGCTCAAATTTTTTATTTTTGATGCAACGGGAAGATGCTCATTCACTCATTTGACAAGTTATTAACTACATGGTCCTCAAAATTCCCATTTTATTTAACCCTTTGAAAAGGGTGCTGTTGTGAGTCTCTCCTCTGTGCCCACCAGTTTTATTTCTGTAAGTTTATTCTTTATTTATGATGAATTGTTCCATTTGACGTTGAGGCCGACTGTCTCTTCTCTTCATTTTGTCTTAAAATAGTTGTCATTGGATCTCAATCTGTGAACAGAACACTGCTTAAAGAAACACTCACCACAGTTTGAGACAACAGGAATTACATTATAATACATTATGTTAGAAATGGATTTTAACTTTTAGGTATGACACATGTGCTCCCAACCAACCCAACGTTTACATCTAATATACAGTCTAGGTTCAGTCACAGGTGCTCATCAAATACTTCAATCTGATTATGTGTTTGCTCTGTTGTACTTTTTGTGAGTTAATGTACCTATAAAGGCTGTATGTCAAGATATCAACCCTTTGGTTTGTAGTGATGCTTCTTGACACGTGTGTGCTACTTTTTAAACCAATAAACCAAAGAGTTGAAACATAATGGCCCCGATGTGTTTCTTGTATTTCAGAGGGGATGGAGACATGGCTCGACATATGTTGAACTGTGTCTCCCTCTGCTGGTTGATAACAAGTAAAGACTCACTTGTACCAGAGATACATAAGTAAGGTCTTCTTTTATGTGCTAAATGTAGTATACTCTTGTGTCAGTTCACTGTCATTTAATAATCACTTTTATTCTGCATCTCAAAATGAGTGCCAGTTTAGTATGTTTTATTCATCTTCGCTCAGCCTTATAGACCACTGCCTGGCTATGATTTTTACTCCTGATCCAGACAATTTCCCCACACCTGGTAAGATCTGTCTATATCAGCAAGCTCAATTATGAATTCAGACCTTATAATTACATCTGTATTATTCCTCAAAATACACACAAAACATACATTTAGAAGTAAATCTGTACGCTGGTAGTGAATGAAGACATACTGTAGCTGCATGACCTGGAATATAGATTCATTATTTGGCCATCAGTCAATCATCATTGTTATTTTGAAATGGAAGGAAGCATGACTGAATGACCAGTTACCTGACAGATCAGAAATAGACAGAACTAGCCAGTGATTACAACATGACTCATTCTCTCTATCCTTAACTGTCTAATCTCTGTGGATTACCTGACCCCGCCTGAGCCCTGAGGAAGAGAGAAAGTGAGGAGAGACGGGACTAGAAAGAGAGAGCCGTGTGGGGATGCAGGACGGAGAGAAATAAAATAATATAGGGAAGACCTACTGGCATTTTAAAGGAAAAACTTCTTCTGTAAGTTCAACAACCCCTCCCACCATCTACACCTAAAGTAGAAGCCACTCCTGGAGTTACTGTCTGCTTTTCTTCCTATACATATACAGGAAGTCTGTAAAGGACAACGAAGAGGAGAAAGCACTCTGGAGGACATCAGTCTTCAACTTGAGTCTCAGAAGACGACCACAAGGCTTGTGATAAATTTGACTCTGGAGTCCATGGTAAGACATTGTCATATTGGGCTGCTGATTAGAATAATAAACTACAGTAAGATACAAACATATATGAGGGACAAAAACGTACTGGTAGGATAGGGATGAAAGAGGAACACAGGGAAGAGCAGTGGACAGTGTAGACTGAGCTAAGCCATGATAAGCCTCTTTAAGCTACTCTCCACAGATCAAATGTTCTGTTTTAAACCTGTTGATCTGTGCTGGACGTCTGACTGCGAGCTACCGATTCATTTTATCAGATTTTTTTTTATCTTGTTCACTGCCAAATCAGATCCAAACTCTAGAGAATAGAGCAGAGTCTTCAAACGTGTTGTAAGCCATTTTCATTGTTAAAATAAATGTTAAACAGCTGTACATTTTCTATCGCTGATATAGAGTGTTCAGTCAGTAATGCGGTTCTCCCAGTCCCCCCTCTGTGCAGTAAGTAGAGAGTATCCCGTTCCCAGCTCATCCAATCAGGAGAAAGAACTCCACAAAGAGGCGGTCCTCAAGGGAAGGCAGCAAATGTTCAGTATGGTGACGTGAGGAGGAGGAGGAGGAGGAGGAGGAGGAGGAGGGAGGGACTGCTTACTGAGAACAGACAGGAAGTTAGCTAAAACCAGGAAAAAACCTACTTTTAAATCTCAAATTTGACTTACAGACAGCCTGTAAACTGGACAAACATCTGACTGCTTCAACGTCTTTGAGACAATCACTGTGCAGTCTCCAGCTACACTGCTGATGTTTTGACCTCTGACCTCCGTCCCTCTGTCTCTGTCCCAGGACATGTCTAACAGTCAGTGTGAATCAGTGGCAGTGAGCGTGGAGTCCCTCCTGAACGATGCCAAGAGGATGCAGACGCAGTGCCGTGAGCGCAGTGAGCAGCTCTCCATCGCCGCCACGCAGCTGAGGGTGGAGTCAGCCACCCTGAGGGAGCAGTGTGAGGCCTCCCAGCTCGACATGGCCCAAATCCGCCGGCAGCTGGATGAGCTCCTGGACACCAAGGCGGCCTTTGAAGCCAGGGAGAGGCAGGCGCGTAAACTCAGCAAGCAGCTCTGAGGAGATGAGGAGGAAGGGGGGTTAGTGATTGGTTGAGACCACCTGATTGGCACCCAGGAGAAAGGAGGATAGAAGGGGTGAGGAGAAGAAAGAGTTCATGTCTAGTTACTCTGAAGGGAGAAAAGGAATGGATGAGGGGGAGGAAAGTTGAGGATGAGAGACAGTAGACAGACAGTAAGGATACAACAGAAAGGAGGGAGGGAGAAGATGCGATGGGAAAGAGAGTCAAGAGAAAGAGCGAAGGTATAAGAAAGAATCTGAAGCCAGCAGCAACTTAAAATGGTTACTAGAAAGTTGGTGTCAAACTCAACAGATCAGGGTTGTTTAGGACAAGTATTGTTGACAATAGCAAGTTTATCTTGACATCTCATTGACAAAGTAAGAAGCCTACAAAATACAAAACTGTGTAGTTTGTTAGTGAAATGGATGACTGACAGCTCTGTCCTGTTCTTCTTTGCTTTTGCTGCTATGTGAAACAGATACACTGAGAATGTGCACAAAAGTGTCATCCACATCCTCTTTCCCACGTTTCATGACAAATAAACACAGTAGAATACTCTTGTCTCTTGTTATTAACATATCTTCAAGTCACTCATTTAAAAATATACATTATTTTGCTTCGTATAAACTCAACTACATATGATTAGGCATATGAAGTTAGTGGGTCAAAGTTGATAAAGAGCAAGCAATATCTGTTGAGGAATTAGATCCTGAAGTCTTTATGGGCTCCAAAATGAGAAAAGACGTGTTTTACGGCACATTTATCCCGAAATGTCTGCGATATATTCTTAAAGTTGCATGTTTTTACCTTAAACTACCTCATTTGCCTCTGGGACCCAGGTGATGAAGAAGACTGCGCCATTTGTGACAGTCAGTAGAGGGAATGGACGAGCACAGCTACACATCAACATAGAGACAATAAAGCTGGGCAGTTGTTGGTCTGTCTAATCGCTCAACTGTGTTTTTAATTTCTAACTGAGATGAGTTGCACTGACATGAGAGAAGCTGTCAGAAACTGCAGAAGCTGGTTGTATGAGGTTTCCAATGTAATTATAAATGTAAGAAAACAGACAAATGGCGTCCATGTTGTTACATAGCAGCTCTACAATGATGAGAGGGAAACAAAAAGCTGCAAACAGATCACTGACTAAGAAAATAAAATAAAAATATTGCCTGTTTAACAAACCTGAGTCCCGCACGCACGTGATGACGTGTTGATGATGAGCCAGCAGGGGCTATATAAAGGCTGCATACCATTCTTATTTCTCTCTTTTCATTTGGATTTTGACACGAGTTGACCTGTTGACCTGTTGCAAACCCAAACTGTGGAAAGAGAACTCTCTTGGAGAATTGAACCAAGCGCTACTGGAAAGAACCGGATCGCATCTCGTTGGAGAAACAAACCTTTCGGATCAGTCAACCTGTGGAAAACTGCAGAGGCTGAAAATGGCCCCACTGTTCAACGAGGGACACCTGCCGATGGACGTCGACCCTGAGTGGGACAACAACAGGGCGGGTGACTGAGACAACTTTTACATTTATCATTTGACTTGTGACTGATTCACTGATTCATCCCATTAAAACCATTAAAAACTTTATCAGGACAGAAATCAGTGTAACTTTTTCCTGTTGGAAAAACACAGATTTGATAAAAAAAACAGACTTTTACTCAACGATTTCTCCGTGTATAATAATATATTTATTTATAGCCTATGATCATAATATTGACGGCCCGAAGGTCTGAAATATCCCGGGACAGGTGTGGAGTGTGTTAACAATTAGTGTAGTCATTTGAAAACATCGTTATTTTGGTTTGAGGGAATCAAACTTTATCAAATTTGTGCATTACATTTTTAGGAAGAAAAGATGGCGACTGGGCCAAGTTTCATAAAATGCTAAAAATCTATTTTCTTGTGCACCATGGAGACGATGGAAATATTAGCTCCGAACGTCATCACGTCAATACGTACAGGTGTGATCAGAGCAGAGAACGTTCTTCCCCTCTGAGCTGTTGGTTTTGGTTCGAACTGTGCTGTTAACAGGGAGATAAAGTGAACGATGGTGTGTTCAGTCATCTCACAGCTTGTACTCGACATGTTGATATTTTAAAAACACTGAAAAGCTCTTTGCTCGTCAGTCTGCAGTTTTATTCTGAGGGAGAACAGAGTTATTTGATTAATTAATATTGTTTGGTCTGCACAGACGTTACTGTTATTCTGAAGAAGCCCTGTTGTTGGTTGCACATGAATGATGATGATCAATGCCTTCACCCAGTGCACATGCGCATCAGTGGATTCACTGAACCACTGACAGTTTGACCATGTCTGCTATTGTATTTATTATGGAGGACTAAAGCTGCCATTATAATTAATTAATTAATTAATTGATTAATTACTTTAATGAATACATTAAATATTAAAATCCTCAATTATCAAATAAAGGTGCAGGTTAAGTGAAAGAAAGATAGATAGATAAATAAATAAATATGTACAGAAATACATTAGGCCTATTAATACATTATGATTACATTTATTTCTGTTTTACTTCATTATTTATTTCTTCACCCATATGTTAAGGAGGGGTATTGTTCCGTGGGTTCAAATATTAAAATTTTAATATAATTTAATTAATGTAGGAATATCTACAGAAATTTAAAAAAAAAAATAATAATGTAAACAGAAACGAAACTGGGATGAATATGAAAATAAAGTAATACAAATAAGTAATATAACTCAAGCTCTTTAGCTATTATGTGACTACTTGTCATTTATATAGTCAGAATTTCAGAGTCCAGAGTCAACACATTAACAGCTAACCTTTTCCAAGAGACTAAGTACAGTAAACATATGAAGTGTCACATGAACACAGCCTAAAATGCTTCTCATTCTGCTCAAAACAACAGAGGAGGACCCAGACTCTGGCTACCAGACCGTGTGCAACGTTGAAGAGAACTGGAGACCAGTGTACCATCCTG